TGTAGGATTAGGTGATTAGGTGCTGTGGCGCTGTAGCTCGGAGCTGAGTTTGCGCAAAGCTCGGCCACTGCAAGTCAGTGGTGGTCGACTGCCTGCAGCCGGCGCAGATAACAAAGAGCAAACGAGCGCATCGGTTTTATTCAGATGGCAGTCGGGTCGGCGATTCTGTGATAGTGTGCACAAAGAACTTGAAGGATCCTTGAGCTCGTCAAGTATGCTCAAGGCTGGTTGAAAAACCCTTCCCTGCCGCTTTCATGAGATTGCGAGACGGACCTCTGCTATGATCAGACCGACTTGACGAAGGACGTTGTTTCTTGTTAGGATGTGTCGGCATCACTGCTACAAGTGCTGGCTGCTGTGCATTTGCTTGAAGAGCTACCGTGTTTGAAAGAGGCACGGGTGCTTGGTCGGTCAGTCCCTGCAGGATGGAGTTGCAATGGCCACAAAAATGCTCGGATGGATTGCTGCACAGTTTTCGCTTTTGCGGTGGAAAGTGATGCTGTGCATATATAAGGTATATAACGGACAAGCTCCCAAACTGCTAGTGAGTCTGGGAGGACATGTGGCCTGCGCTTCGGACGGCCTTGCTCCTATCTGGTTGGGCCCTCACAGAACGAACTGCGTTTGAATGATGTGCGAGCGTGTGAAGCTGAGTCCCACAGTTGCCAAGGTTCGGCAGCACATGTCTACGACAACGGTGCGACGCCACTGCGTCTGCGCTCGCATGCCTTATTCCAAAATGGGATGTCGGGAGAATGCCCCAGCTTGCATTTGCCGGGGTCTCATTTAGCCTCATTAGCGACAGCTGCTTGCAGATTTGGGGCTTCTTCGAGCGGCGATGCAGATGCCAAGGTTGCAGACAGCTATGTCGGCCAGAAGAGCTCCGGAGGCATCAGGCTCTCGCAGTATGCTTTGAAAATCGATGGCCAAGAAGGTCCCTGGGCCCCAGCTCCAGCAGGACACGGAGATCCGCAGGATCCGACAGCCATAAAACCACTGCCGTCATGTAGGCGGAGGAGAAGCTTGGGCTTCTTGTGTAGCTCAGAGGAGTGATTTGCAGCTCCGCCTGGAGAATTCCCAGCTGAAAGGCGCGTCTGCCCCTGAGTGGATGTAGGACTGCCCGGCGAAGTCTGTCTCTGCATGTTACCGGATGTGCCACGTTCAAGCGAGGCTGGAAACAGCAATTCTGCAGCTGTCTGTGACACTTCGAGGGAGGCACCCTGGTCGTGTCTGCCCCTACTTACCCGGCTTCATGAGGACATCGACCTAGGCATTTAGGAAACGATGTATGCAGAAGCGCATATTGCATCAGAGGCTCCTGACACCTGCGCAGTTTTCACAGATGTTGTATGAGCCCGGCGCTGCCTCTTGAGCTTCTGGACCCCGAACGTAATTCAACATGATACAAGCTGATTGACCATTCGTTTCCGACCCATCTCTTTGCAAACCGAAGCAGAGCGCAAGAACTGCTTCATCTTGGCAGGCGCAGCAGCTTCAGTTTGCACGGTGTCGACTTTGGGAGCGCCTGGCGAGCCTTCTCAGAGCCATCGCAGATTGTAGCCCCGCTTTGCCTGCCAGTGAGCCATTGCCTATGACGCTCCTAGCAAGGACCCTCAGCAAAGTCTTGGAAGCTGCCGTTGAGACTTCCTCGCGCCACAGTCCCTTTAGGTCGCTGCAATTCTGCTGTGCATCTACGGCTTGATTTATCTGGTGCACCTCGTTGTCCCCTGCTGAACATTGTTGCATCATGTTGCAGCCATGCGTCGGTGCTGGGTTTGTCTCCAAGGCATTCTTCGGGCGCAGGAATCGCATCAAGGCAAGCAACCGTCGCAGGCGACACGTCCAAGGCAGGGCTGCAAAGGCTGCAAAGCAGGCATGATCGGAGAATGCAAAACTGCAACGACATGCAGCCCCGGAGCGTCTTCCTGATCTCTCCGAGTGCAAGGAGGAGATGACTGCAAGGTGCAGCTCTCAGTTCCAGCCGTCACCACTGACTGGGCCATGCAGAGTGGTGCACTGGCCAAGGTTTTGCTGCAACACGACACATAAGACAGCCTCAGGCTTACCTGATTTCCAGTATTCATGTCCGAACTCAGAATCCACCAAGGTTGTGCGACTGTTCCTGATCGTTATAGTGGCAACTGCAGGCGAGGAGCGTAGGTTTTAGTGGCCAAACTCTCAAGCAGCATGGTAGCACTATATATTTATATATTTGTATTTGTATATGTATGTATACATATATATATATATATGTATAAATATATATGGTGCCGCGCTGCTGGCCCCCCCTTCCCCCCCCACCCCATGGTATCCCCGCCCTCCCCCTGTGGTTCCCTGTGGTGTGGGGTCCCCCCCCCCCTGTCCCTCCCTCGAAGATGATCATGGTCTCCGTCCGCAAGCTCCTCCGGTCCCTTGCTCAAGACCCCTGAATGAAAGTTATTCAAGCAAATGCTCGGGCTGACTTTTACCGCACCCATCCGAAACTGAGCATAGAATGACAACGGTCGGTGCAAACTACGAAAGTCTACGAAAGAACATCAAGCCAAACAAGCAAGCAAAGAACATGGGTTACCTAAGGGCAGAACAGCATAAAAGCAGTGCTGCCACTAACAGTCACACTCGGAATACCAGCATGCACGAAGCACATCATCGTCATTGTCCTCAGCATCATCGCCATCATTCTCATCTGTGTGGGGAGAGGGGGGCGGGGGTTGCGCGATCTTGCGCGAGAGTTCCAACAGGACCGTCGACAGTTTTGGGGATGATGACGTGGACGAGCACCATCCCTGTGACAGTTTGCTCGGCTGCGAGACCTGGTTTGGCTGCTGTGGAAGGGGGGGGGGCATACCATGGGTGGGTTGGGGGGGGGGGGGGGGGGGGCCACTGACGCCGCGACGTGGGACCATGTATGCGTGTGGGTGCGGGCTGCATGTAACATGTATGTGTATGTGCATGTGCATGTGCATGAGCATGTGTATGCGTGCATGCATGTATGTGTATGTGTATGTGCATGAGCATGAGTATGTGTATGAATCCATTCATGCATGCCTAGAGGTATGTATATAAGTATGTATGTATGCATGGGCATATATCCGTGTGTACATAGTACACAATATACATATTATACATATATAATATATATATATATATATATACATATATATATATGCATATGTATATATATATATACATACGTACGCACGCACGTACATACGTACGTACGTATGTACGTATGAGTGTATGTATGTGCGTATGTATGTCTGCACTAGTGACACGAATACGAATACTTCTTGAGAAGACCTCGTAGTCTTGCAATTTGAAATGCCGAACGTCGCTTGTAGTGTGACTGCCCGTACCAGCTCCGCAGCTAGCAATGATCTCCAACCTTCATACTACTGCTGTACACACCACGACGAAGGGTGCAAGTTTAGCATCAACGTACTACCTACCTCTTGCAGGTGTGTAGCTGCCCAGAAACGGAAAATTGGTAGTTGTAAGAGGTACCATGCGCTTCCAAAATACATTGCTGTTGTATCAGACTTCATATGATATAATATATTAAGCGTGCCATATGATATAAAATGACATGATGCGATATAGCACAGGACGATGCGGCATAATGTGGTATGTATGCGTGATAGGATGTGATAGGGTGTGATTGCATATCGTATGATATGATATGTGATGAGATTATATGATATGATACCGTGTTATCTCTACTACATAAGAACTACTATATAAGAACAGAGCCTGTAAACAATACCTGAATTACAAGCATCCATATGCTTGCCACCAAGTGACAGGACTACAACTGCAGTCAACCGCTGTGGCGTCGAATCGCCATTCCTGGAATGTTCAAAAGAAGTCAATCAGAAGCTGTTGCTCACTGCAGTGTCTTTAGTCCTAATCCCACCTCCACTTGGACCGCGTCAAGGTTACTTTGCACCTCGTGGTCTTTCTGCTGGGTGAGAAAGCTTAAGAGCACAGGACTCTCTATGGACTGGTCCGCACAGCGGGCCTCGCCTGGTGGAGAACCCGTGGGTCTCCGACGACGACCACAAGCAGACATGGCCATAGCTGGGGCATGGACTCTAGACCCGACCCAGGCTGGTCCGGGGAGGCTTAGGAAGGGTAGAATAGTAGGGCGTAGGGCGTTGGGGTTGTGCCGCTGTGCCACCTCGAGTGCTGTCACATATGACTTCGCCTTGTCCCGTGATATCCCGTGGTCAAGCCCTTGGTGAAAGGAACCTTTATGCCTTGCAAACAGGATCCGCTTCAGCTTTCAATCAGCCAGCTTCGATGCATGCAGGAACATCCACAACATTGCCAGGAAACGAACATCTCTGCGAGTAGCTAGAATCATTTGTCGCATGAGTGGTCGTTTAGTGATTCAGTGCGCTGAGGTCCTGGGCCAGTCCGCACTTCGTTCAATCATCTCAGCAACGGACAACTTGATGACATTCGAAGATTGTGCACAGACTGTGTTCTGCGGCTGCTCTTTTTGGCCCTGGTCACCGGTGCGCTCAAACACCAACAAAATCCAAACCTGGCGCCAGCTTTCGTGGCTGCCATCTACTTGAATCAGCAACTGCCCAGACTTGGCAGCACGCTGCGGCATCATGTGACAGGCTGCAGCAAGTCGATTTGTACGATTCCATGCTGGTGAACGAAGTGAAGGGACCCTGCCGGTGTTATCGATGGGAGTTGGCTACTTGTCCACCATTCCCCTGATGCCTGCAAGCTGACAAACATCTGGTTCTCTTCTCAGGCGTAGCGCGCTGGAAGAAACCTGACACCTGCCTGCAAGTCTGCGCACCTCTGCGCAGGTTGCACAGGCCGCGCGATTCCGTTCTACTGGGAAAAGCGAATTGTCATCTTCTCAGGAGCCAGCTCAGCTCCCTGAAGCACATGTAAACCTCATCGAGACGATATCAACTAGTCTCATGCCTGGCTACAGGAGCAGCCTTTGCCTCACGCAAACAAGCAAAGTGGCTTGAAGCTCACGGACTCGGCACGATGATGTCGCCGTAAGCAGCACGCATTCGTGATATAGCCGTCTTGGTATAGCCCTGCCAGCAGGAGAAAAAAAACCTCAGCCCTACCATCGTCAGGGCACAGGGCAGCCTGCTTGGAGCCACTCTGCCGGACGAACTCGTTCTTTGGCCACTCATCGGGGTTCCACATCTCAAACCTTTGCAGAAGCCGGAGCAAACAGTAGAACAAAATACCCCATCCGCTTGCGGTTGAGACCTTGCTGCCGTCGGTGCCATGCGAACATGCTCATCTAGCTGCATGGCAGTACAAGTAGCACCTCGTAAATCTAGCCGAGAGTTTACATCAAAGAACAGTCGTTTCCACGAAAAGTCCATGAGGTCCTTAACGGCACAGGCGAACTCCTAGGTCCAAACTCAAAGCCCCAAAACACAAATGGGAAGGCCCCCCTCCTCGTCTTCCGGCTCCAAGCCCTGCTGTAAGCAAGGCGAGGCACGCTTTGTGGCATGCAGCCTGCAGGTTCATGGCGGGTGCGGTCGACGCGGTGACGCCTGTCCGCAGAGCAAGGAAGCGCCCCCCTGGCTTCTGTGCCGGAAGCTTCACAACCAGCAGGCCGGTCTTTGTTCTAGCATCGTGTGAGCCACACTCCTATCCCGGCATCTCCTCCATGAGACATGGCACTGCTGACACAACTGCAGTTTAGGAAGACACCACACGACTACCCGTGTTCACCTCGAGGCCCCCGACACTATTCACACACTGGCAGGATCCGGAAAGCACGAAAGTTCAACGGTTTGAGGCACAAATGCTTCCGCCAGCCCCAGATCCCCGCCTTTCTAGCCTCACAAAGTTCCGTGCTAGTGAAGGATCCTGGCCGGAGCGGTCAGAGGTTCCCACAAAGCAGAAAATGCCCCTCCCCCCCTCCCCCCATCCCTCCCCCCTTCCCCCTCCCCATCCTCCACCACTCCGCCAACGACGCCTTTAAAGCAGCTACTCGTCGGCCCTCTTTATCTGCGGCCGGGCCCAGGCGGACGACGCGTCGTTTACAATCATGGGCTGTCCATGACATGTCGCGCTTCCGCGCAATTCAATCGGGTCTCGGCAATAGACTGTACCACTTACACATGCTCATGCAGGCGAGTATGAGTCTTGAACCGTTGACCGTTGACCGTAAGGATTAAGGAGGCGGGGATAACAGCCCGACACATTAGGACACGCCCCCAGCCTGCTATGATCCCCGCACAGTCCGCCGAACAACTTGCATCGAAACTTCCAAGGCGGCCAACGATTGCAATGCAGCTGTTCGCCGCCTCAGTTGGGAGCTTGGCTTTCAGCCTGGCTGAAAGAACACTTTAAGGTTTCCTAAGAGGCGCTAGATCCGTGCACGCGACACCCAGCAAAAAAACATAAGTCTCAACCCCTGAGACACCTGGAAGCCGCAAGGATCCCTCTCAAGCTTAAACCGTGCGATAAAAGGCATGTCCTGACCGAAGAGCCAGGGAGTAGAAGCGTGTAGCCAAACTGAGCACACCAGTGAGGCCGATGATGTCTATCGCACCTCTGTGCTTCAGATGCTTGGGATCGGAAGTTTCGAGGACCCAAGGTCTTTCAAGCATCCGTGACACGTGCGACTTTACGCATGTTCCGGCCATGCAGACATACTGGTGAGCTTGCTGTACATGAATGCAAGTAGGTTCCGCACAGACACGCTCGTCGTCGGAATCCTCGATGTAGTCAGCGGCACAGTGCATGGTGCTATCCTTGGAGATGAGATCTCGACTGCTGCCCTCGTTTCGACACGAAGTCAGGTCATTGTTGCTGCAGACAAGTCTCTGCAATAATGACACCAGCTTTCATTACAAACCTTGGCTGTGGAGCATCTCAGTGCCAACATGCTGTACTGCTAAAACCTGCAACGGGACTGCAAAATGGTCAACCACGCAGTCGTGTGCTGACGATTGGACAGCTGACGAGTTAAAGAACGCCCTGGTGAGCAGCAAAGATACCATCGACTAGTAGTATGGAGCCCAAAATAGGATCCTTGTTACAAGGGCCCCTCAGCAAGTAAAACCCCCATGAAAGTCCTCGGCACCGAGTGTGAGCTACCTGTAAGTGCGGAGAAGCAGCGTGGTCGCCAGGTCTAGATGGCCAACACAGCCTCCAGTTTCGGGCGTTGGCCCATGGCTCTCGGGTTGAATTGCAGGCTCTAGGCACTGCAGGCTGTCGTAAGGTGCTAGGGTTTGGGGCCTCGGGACATAGCCGTTCGGAAATTGGGTTTTGTCTAGGCTTGTTGAAGGTTCCTCAGTTTCGCATTAGGCAGCACACAAGCGTAATACTGCCAGCATCCCCGCTCTCACACATCTGCCATGGCGCGATCGATCTGGCGATATACTGTGTCAGCTGGAATCGCAGCTGGAGGTGCTGGCAGATGCGAGACGTCCTAGGCTGGGTGAAACCTTCGTTCTCTGTGTTGTGTCCACGGCCCCTGCAGCCCCAGGCCCTAACACACAAAGCCCTTCTTCAGCCCCTGCCAGCTGTTCAGATTCCACAACAACCTCGCTCCCTTCACCCCTGAAGCCAGAAATTGCGAGTTTTCAAGTTTCATGGTGGAAGTGCTACAAAGGCTTTTTGGAGCGGCTTGACAGTGCTGTCCAGCATCCTGTCCGGCATTCCTCAACCATTTTCGAGCCTGGGCAGGCTACGTTTTTTTTTAAGAGCTCCTTGCTCTTAGACATAAGACTGCAAGAACAGCAGCAAAAGCATGAGAGCAGTGATGCTGGTAGGCGGTAGTACGAAGAAGGACAATGTGACAAAGAAAGCCCCTTAAAACACGGCATCACTCTTTTAAGGCTGGTGCCACGAGCCCAGTGCCAGATGGCTATAGTCACTAGCGAGTCGTCAGGACTGCTTCCCACGATAGCACAAAACTTTCTGTGAACTGGCTTCGTGCAATCCGGGTGTCGGCTTCCTGCGCGGCCTCTTTCGCTTGCCTGTACGTGGCAGCTATCAAGGGTCCGGTCGCAACTCTCACGGGTTGCAATAAGCATGAGTCAGGACGAAAACCCGTTAAAGCATCCCGGACAAGGTCCAAGCAGCTCGATTCTGGCTTTCTCCCGATTCACCTCAGGTCTTGAAGCTTTCTTTCGCCAGGGCTTTGGTGGAGACTTAACCCTCCATCAAGACCTCTTGCTTGCACACAGCCAAAGGAGGGCGTGTCCCCACTCCCCCCGCACAGGCGCGCACTGGGTCTGACGCCTGTTGGTGAAACTTGAAAATGATGCGGCCCACTGGTTGATCCGACATCAGGACCTCTTTCTTTCGTCAGGGTTAGGGGCAAGAAGATTGCTCCCCTTACCCGCGCGCTAGTGCGCCCCCGACCGTTGTGGAGGGGGTGGAGAGACGAAACTGCACCACCAAGGCAACTAGGCCAGTTCACGGAACCAAACAATGAACAAGACCTCTCTCTCTCTCGCTCTCGTTCTTTCGCCTGGGTAATTGGAGTTCGCTGCACTCGGCAAACAAGGCCCACTGGCAAATTTCCCAAGGAAAGACGTCGCACCAGAATGAAATCGGAATAAAGCTTGCTTGTTCAGCTCCAAAAGCCCATCCCAGTTGTGCGCGTGGGCTACACAGTGAAACAAGACTACAGGCCTCAGGACTCCACAAGAGACCCGTAGCTAGATTTACTAGGTTGCTAGATAAGCAACACAAGGGTGCGGGTAGCCCACTTGGAAGGACCCTCCGTGTTTTCCGGTCTTGCTGGGAAAAGCTCTTTGCTCTCTCTGTCTGTACCAGGTAGAGGAAGGGCGGCCCCCCTTCCCTGCGCGAGGGAACGCACCTGCACCTGAAGCTATCCCTGTCTGGCTCTCGCTGCCTCTGCACAGGCGTTTTAAAGGCCAAAGCAGGTCAAAATCAAACTCAGCGGCTGTGTCTTCCGGATTCCGTGGGCAGCTGAGATCTGCAGACATGGCCGTCCCAGCCAACACGAGCACGTTGCCTTAGAGTCGACTGCCAAAAATACCAGAATCAGCCAATCTGACCGTCAGGCAAGTGCTTCAGTTGAGCCCCAAAACATCTAAGCTGGGTCCAAAGGCACAGCACAGCTGCTGTGCCATACTTGCTGGCATGCGATCGACACAGAGCACAGGCATCCCAGATGAAAGGTGCGGGCCGAAGTACCTATGAAGCCATTGATGTTCGCAGCCTGGTGTGCAAGAACGAGGTGCAGCGCGTAGAAAAGACCATGGTTTACAGAGCTGTCGGAGCGTGAGAGTGCACCGTTCACTTCATCAAAAATGTTCCCCTCGATCGAGCTACGACATGCTGTGCCCACTCAGCTGCGCAGTTCGATGGACGATGGGCTTGAATGCTTGAAAAGGAAACACACGCAAGTGCGGATGTCGAGACCGGCACACTTCCTCAAAACACCGGGCGGGGTGAAATGAGGCTTATGCCAGACCAGCCACACAATTCGCCGGAACATTCAATGACCCAGAACATGTCGACACGGAGGACGAGGCAGCACCGAGACCAAGTGCGGTGTTCACCATTGCCTCAGCGTGTGCACGAGAACATACTGTTCCCGTACATGTCATGAAATGTGTGCCATTTCACATTCAGGACGGCAACACTCCAACAGTCTATCCGGGGTGCGCCAATGATAGTGATCGCACATATCTGTCGCTCATCCTGAACCATCAATGCAGAGCGGCTTTCTTGGGTGTTCAATGATCTCATCGAAGCCAACTTTTGTAGCACAATTTTCCTGCCTGAGTCACTGGGCGCTTATTTACTCTTTTGATGCGCCCAAAATCCTCAGCTGCAGCTCTGCAATCAATGCCGCTCCTGCTGAGCGGCTCTGGAACAGCAGTAGGTGCAAATTGAGCCGCGCAGTTGATCGTGATTGCGGCGATGGAATTGCCAAGCAGCAGGACGCGCCCAACACTCTGTGCCTGACAGGCTCGCACCCCCTTCCATAGAGTGCGTCGGCTTTTCAACTTAGCAGGGATGAGCTCTCCGAGTCTGCGTTCAACTTCACTGATTCAAGAAAGCAGGAGCCATCAAGGCCTTGTTCCTTAGTTTGGCACGTCAACTAGGCAAGTGATGGGAGGAACTGCAGAATTCTGAAAAGTACCGGAGGCCACAGAAGATTACAGACGCGGGTTGCAATCCAAGCGAACAAGTCAAAACCCCAGTTCGGGACAGCCGAAGTCCAATCCTCTTGCTAATAGTGCGGCCACCCGAATCGAAATCGAGAAATTGAATCCCTTGCCGACCGAGGAAGGAAGGAGAAGACCAAGGAAGGAACGACGGAGGGAGGGAGGGAAGAAGAAGCGAGAAGAAGCTAATAAACCTCCCTGAAAGCAAAACTTCGTGACGTTTTCTGATTACCAGGGACGCTGCAGGCCGTGGGGCCACTATTCCGAGAAGTGGCCCAGGACATGCTTGGAAAAATAGATTGAAAGCCCTCTCTTGCGACTCCGAGCGGCGACATCCACCACACACAGCACCTTGCCTGCGGCCTTGCCTTGTGTCGAGTTGTTGCTTCGGGGTTGGCTTGCGGCTCAGAGCTTTGGAGAAGCAGTGCAGGGTCACCTCTGGATTCGGATCGCACGGGTCGAGCTCAGATTTCTATCCTCGCTCAAGGACACGGCGCTTCCACTGCAACTCCGACCAGAACGACGAGCAGGAGGACGACTGCTATGTTGTTGCAACACACTTTTCCTACGCCTACACCACATGCGGCCCCTGCTGTCGTTCGTCAGCACCATTACGACCACATCGAACAACGCGGATTGCGTGTAAGCCCTTTGAGTTGTGAGGCTCACTTGGGCAGCTTGGGCATTGTCAAGGTGTCCTGGTTTGATTTAAATTTCGACAGGCAATTAAGCAGAGATTAAGAGGACTGTTGATGCTTGCCCAAGCAGGAACCAGTGGTGGTCGACCTTGATGGGACCAGTCTTTCCACACGTCCTGGAGTCGATTCGCACGAAGTGCCCGGCACAGGGGTCCCACTGCCGGAGCCAAGCAGCGGACGAAAACTGCGAGACTAGTCTCACTCTCGCTCTCTCTGTAAGGATCTGAGGATCAGCAGTCACCCTGCACCTTGGCGTAGCTTTGATTGATTTCGGCTTGAAACTAACTGACTGAAAACGACCGACTGTTTGAAATGGATCTGGCGGGACTGGCATGCTGCATGCTTTTTACTCCTCCTATTTCTCGCTCCTACGCGGCTCTGCTCCTCCTCTTCCTCTTATTTCCTCTTCCTCCTACCTCCTCCCCCGATATTGCCCGACAAGCTATCTGCAGCGACTCGTTCTATCCCTCTGCTTCATGACTGTGTCTGTCTGCATTTCCGTCGAAGTAGCTGATATGACCAAGCTCAACCAGCGGCAGCTCCTGCAGCTCAGACCACACAGCGAATGCTGGCACTTTAGGGTGCATCCGCGTCTTGCCGAAGCCAAGCAGGCCGCACTCCTTGGAATGCCCAAATTCCACCTCAAGAGATCGAAATCCATCTGGAAGAAGCCCTGCAGCCGGGAAGGGAAGTTGCGACTGTCGAAGCCTTCAGCCAGAACTCAAGTCACGGGTCGTGGACCTTCCAGGAAGTGCATGGACTTCAGACCTGGGCCCGGGCCCAGTTCTCTTCGGGGGGCTCTATCGTGTCCTCGAGACGCTGGGCTCCCGGCAGCGGGGGGTAAAAGCCACGCAGACCATCAGTGCACTGAAGAGCAGGATGCCTTGGAAGAGCATGGCAAGCTTAGGTGGATGCAGTGGGCGACCGACCAACCGCCTTCATTCCTGCACCCAAAAAAGTGCCTACCCGAGCAAGGATCAGTCTGGGTCCTTCACCGGTGCGCCAGCCGGGTCGAAATCGGCGCCAGTACGACGAAGGCTCCACCTGCCCCACTGGGGTCCCCAGGTTGATCAAGGGGTATCGTTCCCTTGCACACTCAATGCTCGAAGCAGGAGAACGATGAGTTTGATGCCTGCCTCCATATGCCCTGCATTGCCGTCCACGAGGCTCTCATTTTCGAATCCATCCTGCAAGGGAGGGTGAGAGGACAGCTGTGCTTCGCAAGAGGGTTCCCAGATGCAGTATGCGCCCCCAAGCAGCGGCTGCTGTAGCAGATTCTACATTCAAGTCCCTGCATGAGGGTCTGATGCGGCTCCATGCCGTACCATGCCGGCGGGTCCTCTAGCACCATGTGGAACCTTGATCTTCGCAAGGCCTCCACCTAAAATATGTCAAAGCAGTTTCCTTGGTGTTTCGTAAGTGCTTTGCTATGCTTCGCAGCCAGCTTCAAGGCTTGCCATGCCTGGCTTCCCGCAGAATACTAGGGTTTAGGGTTTAGGGTTGTGGGGTTTTCTGGATGCATTCTGGTGGGGTGCGCAAGCAAAAGCTCAGCCAAGCAAGAACGGCGAACGGCGAAAGCGAGAGACTCGTCGAGTGCCACGGCGTCTCTTTGCTTAAGCAAAAAGCTGTGCAGGGGCATCCTTTTTCTGGCTGGAGCGATGCGCCCTCCCAGAGCAACGGAGAAGGAGCCCGCCGAGGCTTCAAGTTAAGGGCTTCTTTGGCGTGGGACTCTGCGTGAAGAAGTCTGGCATCGGATTCGCGCATGAAGCCTCAGCGTCACCTCTTCCGCCGCGGTGCATTAACGGCCCTGGAACCTGTCTGATGCTTTCGACGGTTTTGGCAGCGCTGATGAACTCTGAAAGATTGTTTCTGATCACGCCCTTAACGGCTTCCATCGGAGCAGCAGAAGCAGCAGCAGCAGCAGCATCACCACCGCCAGCAACAGCAGCAGCATCATCATCGCAAAAGTCACCGTGTATGTTAGACTGTTAGACGTTGAAAGACAGAACAGGTTGCCGTTGTGGCGGTGGTGCTCTTCTTAGTGTCACGGGTAAGGCGAGCTTGGACTGGGTAACTTGCACACGGCAAACGTAGAAAGGGAGGTTGCTTCGGCGAGAGCATCAGCACAGGCAAGCTGAGCATGAACATCAGGTCCGCAGCCAGTCCGTCGTCAGTAGCAGGCCGCGCAACAGCGTCGCACTCAATCATGCTTTGCCAGGGCAGGATTTCTCAGGATGCTTGTTCAGGTAATTCTCGATGGTCCTGCCCATTTGGAGAGGGGGTAAGCTCTGCTTGCTAGCCGAAAAAGTAGTTTGCTGCGGCCACCGAGTAAACTTCCTTCAGCCCCCTTTCAAAAGTCGATCCCAGCAAGGAGAACACATCATGTCCAGGCCTTTCCCACTGCATTCGATTTGGGGAAACATGGTCTGGCCAGGAACAGGGTATCGAAACATTGACGGACGTCGCAGCGGTACCACACCTGTCAGTCTGTGTCGGGACCGTATTTAAATGGCTGCATGGCACAACGACATCTTCATGCCGCAGCAAGGAATTCATTCAGATTCTGACGGGACCTCTCTATGCGAACCGTCCCCTGCTCGAAAACGAGATGCTAAGCTGAGCACAAAGTGAATATGTGCCAGAGAGTGCTGTAGATGCTGTGGCCTCGGCAACTCGCATGCTTGCATTTTGCTGCCTGCGCCCCAGTTCTGCATTGGGAAAAGATGTCTGACACGACGTTGACGAGGCCAGACTTCATTCACTGCCTTGGGATCTATACGCAGAAAGCCCAAAAGCACCACAGTGGCAACGGATGCAACCTTGAACATCCTTGAACAACTTGCGTGACCTGCACCCCAGAAAATGCAGCTAAGGCGAGGCCTTCCCTCCCGCAAATCGGTTGGTGTGCATCTGAAAAGAAGCACTGCACTCGGAATACTGCTGAGGCCAGGGCATTGCAACGCCTCGCATCAGAAAGCAAGCCCAAGCTGAGCATGGGCCAGGAATGTTGCAGTGCTGCACACTGAAAGGTGCCATACTGCTGCTGCTCAGGTGCGAAGCCGCTACATGGCGCCGCGATTCGGCTGCCGAGCTCAATGTCCACAGCCCTTGAGGGGGAGAAGATGATAACTGGACAACCAGCACCCAGGTGGGGTTCAGAGCCACTGGAAAATGCGGCTGAAATCGAGCTCAGATGCGACACGAGATCACCGGTGGGCCGGATGGTGATGCTGGAGAGCGCAGAGCCGACCTCTTGCAGAGTGCCTCGGCGACGAAGGAGCGAGCATAGACCCCAAACAGGCAAAGAGCGCGCAGCAGCCCAAGCCCTACGTAGCCAGAAACCATGCCTAGAGAAAACCTGAAGACCACCTCATGAATCCGAAATGCACACACTGTGAGCACGTTGCCATCCCAAAAAATGCACCACCCTCAACTGTGCGCGGGACTGCGGGGGCACGATCTTGGAGGCGGAAACACTTGTCCGAGCTAAAGGTACGGAGCTGTGAGCACGATTTCGAGTTACGGCAAAAACCCTCGCGTTGGCTGCATTTCGAGACCATAACGATGAGGCTCCTCAAGCGGTTTGAATGGCAAAATGTGGGGGGACTGCGGCGTTAGCACGAGTTCCATCCCAAACTCTGCACAGGACTGGCGAGAGCTGGATCAAGTTCGTGAGCGACGAAGCGTCGCATTTTACGATGAGAGGCGGACACAGCAGACTGTGGAAAGAGCGACTTTGGTCCAGATTGGGCGCCCTGCATCACTGCCCCAAAGTTTCGGTGCGCCTTCCGCGTGCGCTCTCGCGCAATCGCTCACCACACGAAGGCAAAATCCCAGAGTGCTACACCAGCGTTTAGGAAGCCAAGGCAAAATCGAGTTCCTCAAGTCCTGACCCAACGGTGCACAGTTCGGGGAAAAGCCGTCCCAAGCCGTCACTTAAGCCGTGGAGCTGACGTGGCCGGAGTAAAGCACCTGCGATGCCAGCAGCAGGCCTCCGTACCGACTCAGAAACCGACCACGAGTTGCAAAATAGCTTCCTGTGCCAGTCTGCGACAGCAGGGAGGTCAGGGCACATGGTCAATTGGTCAATACCAACATGCTCGGTGTGCAACTGACTTCAGTTTCTGTTTCCTTACGAACTAACACTTGCTGGCCTGAGACCTCGGAGATGCCACGAGATCGTTTCACCAACCCAATCGCTACTGCTGCGCTGCTCGTCTGGGAGGCCCGCGCAACATCAGGCAACAATCCTCGACCTCGACGTTGCCGTTTTGCGTGTTCGCCGCTAAGCCAGGACGTATAAGGGGCAGGGACGTTGGGGCCAGAAAGTCTGGCCTTTGGTGTTTTGAGGGTCTGGGCCTGAAGTGTCGAAGCGTCAGAGAGGAGGTTTGCCCAAACTTTCAATTAAGACTTTCAAGTAAAGAGCACCGGGAGAGCCTGGAGCAGAGAAGGCGATGGTCGTCGGACGCTTCGGCAAATGCCTCCTCGGCTCTCGGAATTGTGGCGCTTTCAGATTTCAGAGTGTCTTCTGACTTTCGGTTTTGGGCGGCTTTGAGAACTCCCAGCCGGCGTCACACTAGAGGCATAGCTTCGGGCCCGAGAATGTCGACGAGACATCTAGTGAGGACCAAGTCACGACGTGAGCTCCATGTCCTTAGCTGGATATGCACAGCACGCTCGAAAGCCTCCATCAGCTGGTCAAGTAAGAGGAGACGGCCCTGACCTTATCGTTCTCTGCCCTCTCGATCGGCGCTTCCAGCTCTGCATCCAAAAGTGCCCAGAGTGTCCGGAGACAGCACAAATCTTCACCTTTCCCTGAGACTTTTCTGAGGTCGGGTTGCAGGTCGGATAACGTCAGCTTCGGGCCAACTCTCTAAGCTTCGGACCACCAGCTTCGCGACGCCGCCGCCAAGTGAGTGTCCAGTGAGGTAGAATGTCCTGCACAATCCAAACAAACGTCTGAGTAGTTGAACGAAACAAGTGCCCACGGCATGCCCACACAGCAGAGAGCTCTTCATGTGCATCATCGATCGGGTCGCTGCAGCTTCTCTCTACTGGCCGTCACTGTGATCGTCTGTTTAGAGACTGTGGGTGGTCGCGCTCTCAGACACACCAAAAAGCGGATGTTGCCAAGCTGCCTGTTCGGGAACGTCGTCAGCATGTCAGTAACAACGCGTAGCAGCGAAGCATACGAGGACTGCAGGTTCACGGAGCACCTTTCCATATGCGCACTTCGCCAGGCAACACTCCCCATGGACGTGGCGCAAGCAGAGGTCCCTGATAAGCTCTGGAGAGCTCTGTATTGAAAGGCTCAACATCGCTCTTCCCTCTTCGCCGCCAAGATGCAAAGGAAACTCGTTGGAATGCCTCTGCCAGGAGCTTGGAGTCTTCGTTTCTTGCATACCCAGAAGACCCCAACAGGACGCACCTAGACAGCCGACCCAGGTCCGAAGAAGCAGAGCCCTTTTGCAGCAAAACAACCAGAGACTTCCGTGAGCCACTGAAGATTATGTAGGAGCCTGATTAAGAAACCCTGGCCCTATAACCCCAATATATTACGGGTCATATTAAGAACCCCAATAAAGGCCCGGGGGTTCTTAATCAGGTTCCTACATTAAGTTTGACAGCCCGTCCTCGCCATGGCAATGCCCCAACAGTCTGCCCCAATGTCCGGGCCGAGCAAGCCCATGCTCCTCAGCCGCAGCCCGTTCAGATCGCGATCAAACAAGACGGCTTTCAGTCTCAGAAGTTTGAGACAGTTCTTGGAGACGCGGAGAACAAAAAGAGCTTGAGAGGAAGCCAGAAAAGGCTCGATGCAAGCTCCGTGGGTCCGAGACGATAAGGGCGGCCATTTGGAAGCAACTTCGCTTGGTCTGGCAAGTGAAACAAAGCCTCCCAGAAACGAAATAGAGACTGCTGCGAGCCATGCTTCCAAAGTCCTGAAGAAAACACAAGATGATCCAAACTTCGACTTGGAACCGCGCGAGAGACCGTGCAGGAATAGAACCCTCCTGGCCCCACCTATAGAAGCACAAAATAAAAAGCACAGGCATGCTGCAAGGCAAAGGGCGAGCAAAAGCAGCATCATCGGGTGGAATACTCTAAGGCACAGCAGCGGCAGAAGCCGGGATTCCGTGTACTCCGTGTGAATGGCGGCTGGGTGCACTCACAATGAGCTTAGGCCACAGCTGGAGTATTGCTGGAATCATCCACAGAGAAACATCTTGAAGCACCTTAGACAGCATCTTTGCCATATCCAGGGATCCATGGGAAAAGACTGCTTCGTGCAGCTGAGGGACGTCAACAGCATCCAGGGTCCCTCGCACTGCAATGACCGTCGTTCCTCATCAAACTGCCATGCAAAGCGCGGTGCACACAAAGTTGCGCCTTTGTGCATCCCGAGCATCCTTTGTCAGCGGAGGTGAACATGAGAAACCGCGACCAGTCCGTGTTGCGGTTGGGGCCTTGCAGACAAAACTCATTGGCAGTGTGTGTCTGGCGCTGTCGCCTGTGGGCCCGGGCGGTCTCGCAGTTCGGTCTCTCGGAGAGCATCGTCCAGATGCCATTCGGGGAAGTAGTGGTGCAGTGCTGCTTGAACACGGCTGTGAGGCCTCAACTTTCCACAGATCTGCACCAGCTGCTCCAGCATGACAAAGGCTTGGCCCAATGCTCGTAGGTCAGTGAAGCGAACAAACCGAAGTCCTGAGCACTCACTGAAGGTGTCAGTGCAGTGAGAAGACGATTCTCAATTGCAATGTTCCTACCACACAGATGTGTGCCGCAGGGCCCCCGACACCAAACTTCAAGTCTCGGCCGTCTGGCCTGGGGAATTCCATCTGGCACCTGTGATCTCACTGCTCGTCTCCACGTAGCAGGGAAAGGAGCACATTGCAGTACGACAGGGACACCGAGCGGGCAGAGAACGATCTAGGTGTACTTCCACTGCAGGGTTGGATGGCAGGACGGCTGGACTCCAAGCATGTTCTTCGTGCTATTGATGCTGAAAATCAGGCAAGCAGCAGAGGCGTGTATGCTTGATTGACTTCGGGGCCTCAGCTGCAGGATTTGAGGCCTCTCGACTTGACTTGAGACACCACTGAGCAGCTTGACTCAAAATCTGCCAGGCTTCGAGGACTGATCTGCTCGTACCTGCAGTTCGACATATCCGTGCAGAACCTCGGAATGAACGTGCAGAAGGAGCCCGAAGGGTAGGAACAAGCAGTTGAAATTGCGAGCTGGCTGCCGAACCGGAAGAGACACCTCTCCCTACGAACCTGAGACTTACGATGCGTCTCACTGTGCCGACCAGCTGCGCACTCCAATTGTTCATCTGGAAGGAAGTCACGAAGGCCCAACAGACCTGCGGTGCTTTTCAACAGCCGTACCGTTATCACAATGCTTCTCAAGTATCTAGACAGACCCCACATCGACTCTGACCTACAGCTTTATCCGGCACACCTCAGAACAGCATCAACTTGGCACTGATCTTACGAACTTACGGACTACATAAATCAACGGTCACAGCACCAACGTACGGACCAACGTACGAGATCCGAACAAACAAAATTGTTGGAGTAATCATATGCAACATTGCACAACTGCAGTTTAAGCAAACATGTACCAGTGGCGTGGCTGCTTTGAGCTACGCGGCCATTATGCGAGCTAATGCGGGCTATGGGAGTCATCCGCACGGTGCATCTGTCGCTATCTGGCGCCGCCACGCCGCGCAAGGTGCCCTAAACCCAACCACCATCTCGTCCAAGCAGCGATGGCAATGACCACAAACTTGGCTGACATGCGGCAAACTGTTGTCTGAAGGACGCAGAAGTGTACACTTCGGTAACCGCGTGTGCATATTCAGGACTGGACTGCATACCATGAGAACACTGAGCGAGAACCAAGCTTCGGGGCTCGGATTCTCAGTCCAGGAGGCGTCCACATCACACACATTTGCAGGCTTTCGCATAGCCAAATCAACTGGTCTTGGCACCCCCTTCAACTGCTCTCTGAGTCAACTGTGCTCGATCACATGACAGCGCCTCTTAAGTGCCTCTTTCCTTCCTGCAGGCCCCCGGGACACGGCACCGAAAACCCCAAGACCTGAAGGCTCCTGATCCGCTTCCGAGCCGCATGGACCACTCCAAGAGCCATCAAGGAGACCTTCACTTCGTGGTTCTGGGACTGGCTTGAGTGGGACGGTGGGAAGCACTCACCGGCTGAACACGGCAATGCCCATCTCAGCACTGTTGCGGACAGCTCAAACCATATCCCTACAAGAAGCACCGGGGCAGCTACGATGCGAATACGATCCCCTGCTCGCACTTCCCGTTGAAAGCCAAACCTCAATGAACAGGTCAGTATTGTCAAGTCGGCATCGTACGTTGTGCCGGGCATGCTGGCATCGATGCACCTGCCACCATGCTACTGCACACCGCTGGGACAAACTGATGCTGATGAGGCTCTGCCGCATAGCCTTTGCTGTCTTCAGAGTTCAGCACACCATGCGTCAGGAAATCCACAACCACACCAAACAAAACGGTGGACCAGATCCAGTGCAGCCAGAAAGCACACAGAAGAAAGATCAGAGCTGCATCCAGGAGCGGTCTGTCCGCTGTCCTCTGATGCTCGTGTTTGTTAAGAGCTGAATACTTGAATGGGTGGTTGTCAAAATTAGGGTCCTTTTTTGGGTACCCTAAATATTACGGACCCGAAAAGGGACCATAATTTTGACAGCCACCCAAATCTCTGCAGGGGGTTGCCCCACAGCGGTCGAGGGTCAGCAGCCCTTGCTTCCGTACATCGAGGAGTGAAGAGGACTTGATGTGCAGTGAAATCCAGAGAACATCCGGCCAAGGCTCGTAATGACAAGGCACTGAAGCAGGATGCCTTCGAAGAATGCTTCCTGGGCGAAACTTTCACTGGCACAGGCACCGAACCACAGAAAAAGTTCTAAACCTAGCAGGTGGCCGATACTTGCATCCACTCTCCGACTGTCCCCGGAAGCTGCAACGGTCTCGAGCGCTAACTGTGGGGCGCTCTCCGGCTGCTTCGCACTCACTTCGAGGGTTTGCAAAGGAAAACAGCACGCGACCCTGCCCCACATCCTCCCCACGACTTCGCTGCTGTACAGGCGCGAAGATGGCTGCTGCCCAGCCAAAGTTTCCCTCAAAGTACATGAACAGTAGGCGCAGGAAGAGGAAGAAGAGTATAGCCAGGCCTTTGGCGAGGCTCGTGAAGTCACAAAATGCAAGGACCTAGAGCTCTCCACATAAGCAGCTAAGTCACAAGAAAGCGAGAGCCATCGCAGTCCGTAGCCTCCGAAAACCTAAGCTACAAATGTGCTCAAGACCACTCACTTGCTAAGTCCACACATCTAGCTTGACGCTTTTCTGATCTCTCCTGGGCTCTCCTGTTCATGATTCGCTTAAAATGCTTCCATGCCACTGCGCCAAGCATGATCAAGGTGATTGCGAAGGGATGGCGCTGACGCTTCTGCGCACTGTGGTTGAGTCTGCACCACTTCTCGCCTCCACAAACTTGCAACACACGGTTTCTTTTATAGACAAGTCGACCTGGAACTACTTCACTTCGATCAGCTGCTTTGAGACTAACTCCAGAGTACAGATGACTCAGCTCTACGCTGATCACATGCGCTACACGGTATAATGACTTGAAGGAGGCTCCCTACCGGTCATTTGTCGCGGAGCAAACAAGCCTGCACATTCCACTCTATGCACTCAGCACTGATCTGCTCGTTTTTGGCACTCCCGGCCCCATCGCTGAAGAACATCTGGACTGTTGAAGGCATTGTTCAGCCATCCAGGTGGCTGCAGCGGCTGGATGCGGTCAGCGTAATCTCGGCTCGTTTTTGCTCAGCACACTCAAGAGCTTCAGACACGCGTGTGTCGATTGAACCTTCTTGATTCTTGCGATCTCAACGTCGGGAGTATTGCCATGGTCTCGAAAACGACTTCCGCGTTGTGATGTGTTGTCATGCTTTGCACCTGCCCCAAGAGACCGGTCGCCTAGCTCCCAAAACATGATCTGCCAGCTGCATGCGGGTGGCTGGAAGCTGTGATGACCTAGGTGCAAAGCGTGCTGTCAGTATTCGGAGGGTGAGGGACCCTTCCCAACATGCATCGCTATGCAGGCCAATGACGGAAAACGACGGCCCGAACACAACAGCACTCTATCGCCTGATGCCGCCTCAGGTGTGCATAGCATGAAGGCCTGAGCCCATCGCTATCCAGCTCATCACCATTGAGCTTCCACCTCCAATCACAAAATGCGCTGAATGCTGCATTCAATATTCTGTAATTTTCTCGCCAAACTGCCCGACTGTCTTATTGGAGGCAGCTGCGGCAACTTGCCGACATCTCTGCCCTTGGGCTGTGTCCCTGTGCCAGCAAACGGTCCACAGAGATGTCAAGTCTCGATGGTCGCGGAGTGAAACTTCAAGAGAACGAACAGCACAGTCTACACAAGCACTTGGTCTCCAGAAAGAACCATGTTCAGGCGAGTGTTCCGAAAAGGAACTGCGACAATGTTTGCAAGAACGTGCTGCTCTGCACAAGAGCATTCGGATTAGCACATTTGCTTTTCAATGGGCCTTCATCTTGCTTTCAACTCCGTGAAACTATCAGGCACTCAAGGCTTGCGGTTGTGACGAATGCCAAGTCAGAAGGTACCCATAGAGTTACATCATAGGTACATGACATCTTGTATATCAGTAGGTCTGCCTACAAACCAAACAGAGACACATAGGTACTATCATGGCCCATGGCCTAGATATGAACGACCTCTCACCCTTTTCTTGGCTCCTAAAGCCCTCCTCTGGCCTAGGAGGGCTAGGAAGCTTCGCTGGTCAATCAGGCCAAAGACCTGCAGAGTTCAGGAGAAATGTAGGGTTTGTGGGGGCACCTTGGGGATTTCACACCGGCGACCTTGCTCTTTAAGGAGCAGTTGCGTCCACACAGTGCTCATGTGATAAAGGAAACTGGAAAGCAGCTGAGCCCGCGACGAAGGTACAAGCACAAATGATGACTGGAAAAAGATATTCTCCCCTGGCAAGACATCACATTGGACATGCTAGTGCTTGGCACTGAAATCATACTGTCAAGTAGTCATGGGCTGCGACACTCAACAAAGCCCAAGAGCAAACTCAGGGCTTGCCGGTGTGTTCACAGCGAGTGCGGCAGAAATTTGGATGCCAAGGTGCCAATGGAAGAGGGTGCACAGCGTGACACAAACACTTCCTTGCGATGCGACAGATTCCCAAAATGAGGTCTGGCAAATCACGAAGAATCCTGGTGGAACCACTGCTCACTGCATCTGTCAGGGAAAGCAGCACTTTGCAGCTCGCCAGGCTTCTGACAAAGCAGGTCGCCCAAAGGGTCCAAGTTAAGTCAAGCATCTGTGCTCCTGCTCCTGGCTGTCAAACTGGTTCTCGTCATGCATCACCCAGATACTGTGAGTCATGTGCATGATGCCTGAGGAGATTCTGAGGAGTTCTTGCGAATCCAAGTTCTAACCCGCTACACACTTCCGATGACCATCCGCGAGCATGTTCTGGAAGGCTGCCCGCCGCTCCCTAAAGTCACTTCAGGATCAAAGGGGCGACTGAAGCAGTGCAGTGGTACTGTGCCTGCGCTAGCTGCGAAATGCTGTGAGTAGGAGGCCTGCTACATCCAGCCACTGCTGCCCAGGCCTTTATCTCGGTAGCTTCCCGAATTAGACAAATGTTTGGCCGGGTGGGGTGATTGGCTGGATTCTTGCGGCTCTCGTCTGGCCTCGGCAGGCAGCCAATTAGTGACCTTTACATCTTACCTGTATTGTGTTCTTAGTCTTAATCTTAGTCGGATCGCCTCCTGGTTTCTCCGTGCGACGTTGCAGTTGGTGCTCTTGACATATTGCTCTTCACTGCCAAGCATCCTATGACAACTGCCAAAATCTTTAATATCCGCCGGGGTCACTGGAGCGACCGTGCCGGAAGCCGTTGAAGGCGCGAGCTTGCTGCCAAGCGCGGCAGAAGTACTTGACCTGCGACTCATCGCAACCAGGGTTTATGCAAGATGCTGAGCACGATCCTGCATGCTGACCGGACACCTTCAGCGAAACCTCGCCAATCCACCACAACGCGTAGAAGACGAAGATGTGGATACATCCAGTCACGAGACATACCTGCCGAGCAATGCGACAGCGTCACCACCGTAGCTTTTGCGTCACCCATACCATAACCTCTGACAAACCGGTCTGATGTGCAGCGACCGCGTTCTGGTTCTGACACCTCAAGCTTTACCAGCAGGGGTTATCTAGCAGGACTCACCTGTCGCCTTTCATCCAAATCTCGATGTGGGAAGCCGGATCCTCTCATCTAAGCCTTATCACAGAGTAAGGTATGTAGCAGATCTGTATCTCAAGCCTGTTTCAGCGCTGCAGTCTCTGGCAACGGCTAAAAGAACGCGGAGTTGCGAAGCACGGCACTTCAGAGTCACTTAGCCAAGGGTGGGGATGTTGCGGCCTGGGCTGCTGCCTTCTTTTGGAGTCCTGGCCTCAGCCCAGAGGATCCAGGCATGATGGCTGCCCATCCGTTGGGCCATGATCAGGAAGATCAGGGGGACCAGGTCCATGGAGAGATGTACTTGGCACAAGCGCCGGTTTCGGGGAGTCGGAGTGGGGAAAAGGAGTTTCTACTTTCGCTCAACCCTTGCCCCAGTCACCTGTCCCAAGCGAAACTTCTTCAGGATTGTCCACCTCTTTGACTACAATGACTACAACTTAGCAGCTTAGCATGGGGCGACAGGGCCAAGTTTCGCAGCATCTGGAAAAAGATGTCCAACCAGGTCTGGTGCTTCGTGAGCTTTGACCATGAGCATATATAGAACCTGGCGGAGCAGCACGCGCACGTGTCCGTGGTTGGATGTTCCTCCTTCTCTTTCCACGGCAGACTGATGATGCCACATGTGCTTGAACGGCTATCACCCATGACTGCCCTAGTCATTGGGGATTGTAATGCCCGCCTCGCCCAGTCATGGCTACTGCAAGCATTGCACGGCATGCCATGTCAGCATCATATGGGTGCCAGCTCAGGTCAGAAAGCACAGACAATTGGGCAGAGCTAAACTGAGTAGGATGTATTGGGCAGGAATGCTGGTCAGTCGCCTCAACGTTGCTACGGAAAGCAGATCCTTCCGGACTGCGCTTGGCATCACATGCATCATTTTCCGTACCATTGCTGAGTACCCGGCTCGCCGGCTTCCAGCTCACCCCAGGCATCACCAATTAGAAGGCGCCGGTATGCCTGATAGACGGAGGGAGAGAGAGAGAGAGGGAGAGAGAGAGAGAGACAGAGACAGAGAGACAGAGACAGAGACAGAGACAGAGACAGAGACAGAGAGACAGAGACAGAGACAGAGACAGAGACAGAGACAGAGACAGAGACAGAGGTCAGGTTGAATTGCCTCGAAGACATCTGGCCGCCATGCATCCTTACGTCGTGATGCTGCCATGATGTACGCTGCACTTGTCTGGAAGCTGCTTGGCTACCATCTTGTTCCAGGCGGCTCTGGAGAGAATGAACGCAAACCGAAGAACGTCGGTGGTCGCACTTTGCATGATGTAACACCTGCAGGTAGTGGTAAGCTGCACGCTTCGAAGTCAGAAGTTTGCTGGCCTATAGCATGCTGCTAGATCACTGCTTAACTTCCGTAGTGAATTCCGAAGGCAAGCAGGAGCAAGAAAGCTACAGTCAGCTGGAGTCGGATCTGGAGCCGAACCAGCCTAAAGAACGCGCCATAGAACAGAATGGTCAGATGGAATCGTCCTGCATTGAGCCATGTCGAGAGGGTCCGAGCTCGAGAAACTCAGGCGACTAGGCTCCCAACGAAGTGATTGAACGATTGTATTACCACCCGCTTCCTGGCTACAAGTACCTTTCCGTGCGCTGCATCATGCAAAGCTCATCGAAGCAGGTCGAGTTTGCTCCAACCCGCCCCGCAGCCAGAGACCGATTCTGACAGCCTTTCAGCATCATTGCTGAGAGTTGTATTGTGACGGGGCACCAACTTTTCGCCTCCTTGAAGCTGTTCATTGCAGTACGCATGGGGAGCTGTAGCCTTTCCCACCCACCGCTGCAACCCAGCATGCTTTCCCACGTCTCTTCTATCCCGTCACGTCCCTGGACAGCTGCTGCTTAGACTGGGGGTATCAGCGCATGGTCTTCGGAGGCCTTCTGGAGAAGTTGCTGTCTCTTGGTCCAACTTTGTGTACCAGATAATGTAGCCTGGGCCAGGAACTAACCCCTGCTTCAGCGCTGAACACCGGCATGGAACATCTTCCTTGACACCTGGCACCGTGTGACGAGGTGCTTCGGAGAACCACCGAGGCGCAGTTGCAGAAGATTAGGCATGCTGCGGCCAAAATCAAGAAACCTGGACAGGAATGAGGCAACATGCGCAGTAGAGCCGGGGAATGGGTCCGGCATCGTCGCTTGGGTCGCAGCGGAGCGAAGTCAGCATTAATTCTCAGTCTACTCTGCAAGCTGCCATCTCATTCTGGAAAATGCGACCGGGAGGCAGTGCCACAGCGCAAGAGCCTGATAAGCTTCCGCTCGCCCGACGCACAACCCACAGCACGTTTCTTAAGTCTGGAGCGTGACGGTTTCTGACTGACTTATCCGACTAGGGCAGAAATCGAGAATGGTCGGCTCAGCTCAAAATGGACGACTTCCCTCCCGTGAACCGTGAAAGGCATGGCTGGGATCTGGGCAAGCGCATGCCCAGAGTCTCAGGCACAGACTTGCAACAGCGCTCATACTTTCTACGATACAACGATGGACGAGTCTGCTAGACTCGCCAGCGACCGTGCGGTTGCAGAACCTACCAGTCACTTCTCGTCTTTGCACGCGGGGGTCGCCAACGTGGAAGCCTTCTCCATAGCCCATGAAGCTGAGAATCCGAGCCCTCTCCAGGGCAAAGGAATATTCTGAACAGCTTGCAAGGAACCTTCGCACTTCTCTCAGAAAGAACTTCCTGAACTTATGAACCAAAGTGGCGCCAGCCGCCCATGAGCGGCCGACGTTTGCCAGGCTCAGGTGCCTTCGGAAGAGTCTAGACTGCACCAACACAAGATACGATGCTGTGATGGTGCAATATACCTTGTATACTGCATTCAGGATGAAACCGTCAGGTCCCGAACCTGAGCTTGAAACCACTTCTTAAATGCAAGGCAAATAATCTGTCGCTGGGAGAATCGGGCACTCAGGCCTGCAAACACACCCATTGGAGACAGCAAGCTTGCGCAGGTTTGTTGACGGGTGTGGAAAACATAGCACGGGAAACGATACAGGAAGAGTGAGGCGAAATGTCAGTGACGCCGACAGAAACCAAGAGAAGCCCCGTTCGGAGACTGGCCCACCATCTCAGAGCACATACCTCCCTGAGAACTTATCCGGACAGGGAGGGCAAGTTAGGCAATCTGCTGAACATGCTAGTATCTTTCCCATGTTCTCGCGGGAGAACTAGAAACTGCCCTGAGGGATGGCTTGCTCTACCACGAGGCCACCAGGTATGTATATGTATATATACATATATCGTACCACTGCAGGCCCAAGGGAGAAGGGCAAACTTGGCCACATTCCGCACGCAAAAGAGACCCCACCCCCACCGGCAGTATGACCAGGCCAAGCGACCCCCATGTGGGCAAAACGTATCCGATGAAGATCCCGCACTTTTGGCCGCAGGTGAAAGACCGCGGATGCCTTGTTGGCAGTACCAAGCACTAACGTCATGAAAGCTTTTTGGTCTGGTTGCAAGGCAATGCAGAAAGTCCAAGCAGAAGCCAGCTGTCTCGGGTCTGCACTATGCGATCGGGTCCTGAGGACTGGATGATACGATTTGGGCTCATGTGCAGCGAGATGCTCGTCATCTGTTAACTCGGTCTCGGATTCGCTGTCCACATCTAAACCTGAAGTAGCTGGATTCAGTATGCATGCACCTGCACCACCTCGTGAGTGCTACAGCCACAAGAACTTAGACAAGCATCTCCGGGAGTGCTCCAGGGCAGCGTTCGTAAATGTGCGCAGCATATGCCATGCGTCCGGCCAGTCGCTAAAGCTGGTAGAGGACTCTCTTTGGAGTCCGACAGAAAGCTGGCTTATGGGATCGCGGGAGGTTGTCTGGTTTTCAGTGCTGCTGGGGCGCACTCCTATCCGCACAATGTGCATCATGGTATCCTGGTTTGGTTGGCTTGTCTACAGCAGGCAGATGCCCTTGAACGAAGTGGATGCAGAAATGTGGAACCAAAACCAGTCGTTTTGCGTCATCAGAGGCAACTCTTGTAGCACTTCTTCACTAGTTGCGGCTGATTTTACTATGGAACGGCTGGTCTTGGCAAACCCAGGGGCATTGCCAAAGCGCACCGTGCTGCAGCTTCTTTGCACACTTACTTGACGACGATCCAGAAGACGGCGGCCAAAACGCCATGGGTCACCAGTTCACGGGCCCAGTCGAAGTTGTAGAAGAGATGCATGTCCCCCTTTGCAACCCATTTCACCCAAGATACGTGCTGACGGTCATCTCGTCCGGAAACAATCTCCAGTACTCGACATGAGTTCGATGAACCTTCATCGGAAGCAATGCCCGAGGCTGCGGGTTTACAAAGCAAGCACCGAGCCCTTCGCCCCAAACGTCGTGTCCCAGTGCCCAACTCAAACCTGTGACCCACTTCTATCTTCGGCCAGCTCTGGTTCTACTCATTTTAGCACTAGCCAAGGACTTCGCGCCTCGGTGCTGAAGAGCTTGCTCCCATCCCCTTCCAGCAGATATTTCTTGTAGTCAGGGGCCCCAGGTGAGCGGATGTTGTCCCCGACGACCTGACATCTGCCAAACAGTGGGTCAGGACTCCGGGGGTGAAAGATCCCCCCCCCAACCCCCCCCGAAATAAGCCAAGAGACCACGCATCCTTTTGCAAGGACTCCGCTCGCCACAGCCAACTTCAGGTCTGGGAGGTACAGCTTCTTGACCTCATGAAGCTTGGAGCAGGGACTGAATACAGTTAATCCTTGGAGAGACAGCCCAGAAAATAGCCTTCAGACGACAAAACGACAATGAAGACACCGCTGGTAATCAGTCAGGTTCGAGCTGCATGATCGACAAAGAGGAAATCAATCTTTCTTCCCTGTTTCTTCAGCTCTGCGAACACATTATACGAATAGTTGGTCTTCATTGTGATGCGGCTTCTCACTTGGGCTTGCTCGTAAAGGCTGCTCGACACCGTGTACGCAAAAATGTCGGGATCCACTGTGATGATCTCGGCACCTGTGTGGTTCAGCATGCGTACGAGGCGCAGCGTGCCGTAGCCTACAAATGTTCCCAGCTCTACCGCCAGCTTGAGTTCTCCAGGACCGTTATCGAGCCTTTGCTGCACTGCAGAATCCAAAATCTTGCCCTTGACATCGCCAACATTGATGAGGAAGCCATGATTCCATCCGAAATCATCAACCAGGTCGATGGCTCGATCCAAGGCAGACACAGAGTCGAGAGACTCTGTGTGTGTCTGCATCCCTTGCACGACATGCTGCAGCGCGGCCAGCTGCGGATGTGCCGTCTCTGGCGTCAACACCATGAAGAAGAAAAAGATTCCAGCCAGATTTCGAGCAATCTGCACGTGTCTTCCAACAAAGTCTCCCAGCAGCAGCTTGGGATTGGGTGAGAAAACGATCCCGAGAAGTAGAACAGGAAAGGCCAGCAGGAAGAGCCGGCGAGAGAGCCCTCCCATTGCTCTGATACTCTTGCTAGCCTCGAAAAGCTGCTAGGTGCTCCTCTTTAGACTTTCAGATGCTCCAAGAGATCCAGGAGGCTCTGGAGCATTGAAGAAGGATACTGATGGAGGCAACTTCAAGCTTTCGTAACTATGGCCTTTGGGCATGCGACGAGATTGCCGTATGATATGGGCCTGTGTCATTCGAATGGCTTGGTAACAAAGCAGACTGGTTCAGTGAAGGAGGGAATCCTGGATGTTCCGTTCGTCTTGCAGCTACATCACGAGACCTGTCTGGCATCAAGGTGCAGGAGAAAATCCTTCAGTCTCCCAGAGTCTCCAGGCTTCTCGCAGGAAAGACAATGAGACCTGCTAAGGGGTCTCTCCAACACAAAGTGCTGAGGGTGTAGACGTGCAGAATACGAGATCTGACCGGGGGCTCCCCATTCCTGACCGTAAGCAAGCATCCTTCAGAAACCAACCCTGAACTTGGTGCAGCAAGTTTTCCGCAAAGCACTCAGTAGCTGCTCACGGCATTGGCAAGCGCATGTCGTGCTGAATTCGGCGAGCGAATGGAGACTAAATTGTACACGCCCCATCCGCTTTGCTTACCTGTGTGCTTGTGCTGTTGCACGGGGCATGGCGGAGCAATGCATCGAGTTTAATTAATTTAACATGTGAGAAGCACCGGTCACAGCTCCTTGTCCCCAAAGCATGGGCAAAACCTTGCTCACCGAGTCTGTCAGACAGCTGACACTCTCCCAGAGTCAAAAACGCCCGAAGTTGCACAAACTGTCGGCATACTTCCGCACGTCACACAGCGGCATAGCCAGCTTACGCAGTGTTTCGCTAGCAGCCCTTCCACTCCCGAGCAAGCCTGTAGGTTCCCGCATCCCCAGAGGCAGCACACCGAGACCTGGCAGGCCGAGCTTAAAAAAGTCGAAGCCTTCCCAGGGCGAGGTACGAGTAGAGAACCCCTAGGTGCAGCCATGGCACCGCGATCCCTCGCCGGGGTCACCGTGCCAACCGCAGTACCGGCCTTGGCAAGAGCTTCGAGATGCACCTGTCTTGAGCCAGTGACGAGTCCATGCAGATCCGAGGTCGCGACCATCAGTGCTTGGATCGTACTTGGCGCCGCCCTGCTGTATGCTGACCTGCTCGAAGCGGCCACTTCGGCATCTTTGGGGAGGTCTCCGGCTGGCGGGGAGCTGACACACTTCAAGCCAGACTCGTCAAGGATGTCTTGGAACTCTTCCAATGTCGCCCTTGGACAGTTCGCAACAGTTCGCAAGTGAGCATCCCCCTTCCTGAAAAGGCACGAACATGCTCAGCCGCTAAGCACCTGTCGGCCAGGCATCTTCCTTGCATCCGCCTCTTGCCTGGCAAGGCGATGATCTCTTACAGAGTTGGGAGTACATGGTTGCAGAGACTAGTACGAGGGCCCTGCCTGGCAAGTTGTCTCACAGCTGGCCCCGGCAGCACTTTTAATCCAAACCGTCGGGTCCTTCACAGGAAACGAGGCCGGACTCGACCTCATGACGATGCTATACTCTATTGAACTCTATTGTCCTGGATGATCTCGACCATGGCCTGTGTCAGCGCGACCTTACATTCGGATGAACCCAGCAGGCAGCAGGCGAGACAGTCTGAAACTCATCTGAAGCCCGTGCCAGGCATAGCCACGAGAGGATAACCTGCCGAAGGCCCGCATCGGAAGCTGAATCTGTTACACATTCGTCCTTACAGCAGACTCTGCATGGCCTGCGAAACCATTGCGGCCAAAGCCGCTGAGCAAGGCTACTGCATGCGGTCCCGTCTCGAGGGACCCTCGTCGCTGAAGTCGTTGCTGAAGTCTCTGAGGGCTCACGCCGGTACTACCTGTTACTACGCGCTGGAGATCGAGTCTTGGTGTTAGGCTGTGGCCACCTCCTGCCTTTCGGCTTGAGGCCTTTCGGCGGGATGGCATGAGCGTCTGAGTCTAAGACATGGATCTGAACCACTGCACTGCGCTCTCCCCGTGGTCTTCTCTTTTGACGGGCGTTAGCGAGAACTTGCTGCCAACTGAAGGAGCTACCATGCCTGGACCCTGGAGCGAGCTTGATGCAGCTTCGACGTAAAACTCGTATTAGCGCTGGGCTGAGTGTGCCGGTATGAGCTGGCCGATGAAACCGCACCAATTCGGGGCCCAAGGCAAGGAAGTGCAAGGCACTCACCTCTTGGGCAGGACAGGCCGCGGCATAGACATAGGCACCACCGTCGGCATGGCGGGAGGCATTCCTGGCTTTCAACGGTACCGACTCATGTTGCTTTCCTCGACTGCAGCCAACCACGGTCATCGAGATACAAGAACCTGCTACTTGTTGCACCTACTTACCTGCGACCAAACATGCTGTGCCTATCAAAGGGAGCCCCTGAGGCATCACGGGCATTCCCATCGGCAGCCCCGGCAATGGCCTGAAAGGAAGGTTCCCAAGACTTCCAGACTCCAAGAAACTGGCCGTGCCGTACTGTCGTGTATGCAGACGCACAGATCTGTCGTGTGTAAGCTTCGTTTCAGTCCATGACAGATCCACTGCAGTGCGCCGAATGCTGCCAAGGGCACATCATTGTGGGCACCGTCATGGACAAGGCCGACAGCGGCATGGCCAGTGACAGAGGGGTGGCAGGAAGCGCAGTCCTTGTGTTGCGGCCACATATCAATGAGATGAATGCAAAATCATCATGGTACTGCGCTGGACTTCTCCTTTGCACAATGGGTAAGGCCCGGGCGGTAGTCCCGGTAAAGATGCGGGCGGACGCGCTGCTTTCTTGACCTTCAACTGGCTCTACGGTCAAGACGTTGTGTCTCTGCTGGACGTGGTTGCTCGTGCGGATCCAGGCGACATGCGCCGCAGGCGGAGGTGGCAACGGCAGAACCTGGAATCGAAGCATCAGACCCCTGCAAACCCTGAGCGCTACATCAAACATCTTCGAGAGCGCGTTGAGAGAGCAAGAGCCACAAGCAGCCTTGGCCGCTTCCTCCTCCGCTGCAGGCGGCGGGGGTGGCACCTGACAAGCGAACATTGCGGCCCACTATCTACCATTCATTTTCCTGAATTTACGGACACCACTCACAAACGAATCGAGCGAGAAGTACCAGGATCGTCTTCTACAATGGGGAAGCACATCGATTGCAATCCTCACATCAGCCTGGCTTTGCTCCTTTGGAGCAGGCTCGTCTGGAGGCGGTGGTGGCACCGTGCCTGCCAGTGCGACTGGATTCTGTGTCTTATTATGAACTTATCAATTCCCAGCCGCAGCCCAGGCTTCGCCAAGACACTTGCCGCTTTCGAGCCCGCTGCAGGGGCGGGTGGCGGCACCACGTGGGGCTCCAGGTTAGCCTTAAATGAGAGGGAGCAAAAGATGCCAAAGGTCCACAAGGGGATGGTATCCAAATTACCACGTCTTAACAACAAGTTCCACGCGCACAGCTGAATGCGAAAGAAGCTCTGAACGAAAAGCCTTGCCAGAACCATCTTCCATCCGGACTTTCCAGTAGCTTTTTGCCTTCGTAGGGACGAGGGCACCTCTCCAACATTGCAGTAGCAGTCGCTAGTGCCTTGTCCCACTCCACCAATAGGCCCACTTTGCCATTCAGCTCGCCCTTGGCCTTTAAACCGACCTTACAGACTCGATGGGAGCACGCGAACATAAAGTCAATGACCTTGTGAACCAAAACTGATGGCCCGCGCAGCTACTTCATTGCCGACATCATTTGAAAATCCGACAATGCGGCCACGTTGCCACGCGGACAAACTGTCCTGGCGAAAACTCCTCAGCGAGTGACTGTTGCAGGTTTGCCCTGGATGATGACGCAAAGAAAGAATGCCACATCCTACACCAATGTCGCAGAAGAAGGTGACGACTGTGGCAATTGCCGCGGAGCCCAGTCATGATACATGCAAGCGTCATGGCTCGTTTTCCTTTTTTTGTCCTCACTTGCAGTGGCAATGCTGCAAACAATCTCGGCGGGTCAATGTGGAACCGACCAACCAGGATACTTCTACTCTTTCACGTGTCCTTCGTGTGCTTGTCCTTGTCTTTCTTTCGCTTGCCCCTTGCCTGAGGCGAGGCGGCGAACGGGAGAGCTCCTGGTTCACAGATTTCCTGCCTTGAGGCCCTTCCCGTTCTCGTCCTGTCAGAGGGACCGTGCACGTGACCATGGCCGCAGCTCCATGGCCTGGAGGTTCAGCTCCGCATCACCGGCCGCGACCGCATCGGGATCCTGTGGGTCAGATCAGGGTGTCCGGAGCCACAGGCATATACCCTACTCTGTGGCACAAAGCCCGGTGGCTTCTTGACTTGTACTTGACTGCTGAAAGCTTTCTTGCCAGCCGAGCTTTGCAAGAATCGCTGTAAAGTTTGGCGATGTGAATGCCCAGCTCGTGATCAACCGCTGAACCATGCTGCACCACGCCGAAGCCGTCCTCCGACTCAGTGAGTTCGCTCGAGGGTGAGAGCGAGTCTTCCCCATCGATGCTGAACGTCAAAGAGGTCTGCGAAGACCTGAGAAGACAAAAGAAAGCTTCCGCCCACGGTTCCTCAGCAAGTGGGGGTTAAGAAATAATAGCTACGGTTGTGCCCTGTGCCGTGCCCGGCAGACAACCTGGGTATTCTCTAACTTCACGAACTGCTCTTGCGCTAGGGTCCTGACGCTTCTGTCTGACCAGGCGCAGGCCGCACTCGGAACGGAAGGACGACCACGGTGCCCGAAGGGAGACTGAGAGGGGATGCGGCTGCACAACGAGTTGTCCCGTCAAATGTCGCATGTCAGGTTCCTGGATAGCAGAAGGTCTGAAACGCAATCCGAGTGGCTCCGTGTCCACTTCCTTCTCAACCTGTGGCAAGCGAGCATCCGAGACGTGTCGGAACTTCTTACAGTTGTGACTCAGATTCAGAACTCCAAAACGGTCTTGGTCGGAGCCCTACCAGTAGCCACGTCCCGCCTTCTGCAGGGCGGCCCCCCTCCGGCGCAACCCCACACCATTCGTGGAGACGTCCCGCAGGCACAGGCCATCTGCACCCGGCCTTGGATCTGTAGCATGGACGCTTACCACTTAGTACAAAATTGGGGGCAGCAGATGGTCATGACTATCGTCCTAGCATGGCAACATTTCGTCGGATGCCATCTGCACTGTGGAAGACTCAGCAAAAAACTGCATCTCTGCAGTCGTTTGAATGAAGAGCTACACGACTTACAACAAAGCGTGAATCAAAAGGGCCATGCTACACGACTCAATTTGTCTCGTGGTATAGAACCTTTCCCTGCCGAAGCATCCAAATGTTCCCCCACCCTCGTGCCGCAAGCCTCGAGCAGAGCACACACACACACACACACACGCCGAAAAGAAACAACACGCGAGCAAAACTTGCTGCCCCCAGAGTGCTTGTCGCAACTACGATGTTTCGCTCTCATCGGACACAAGAGCAAAGGGACAGAGTCCAACTGAGGAAAGACCACCGGCGAAGTACTGCAGCAGTTACAACTGTCGTTCGCTTGGAGTTTGGGTCATCTTCTGGAATCTCGCACATCCTCTTCGGACTCTTCGATCTGTAGGGCAGTACCTTGCTTTCCTCTCTCGAAGAACTCGGCACCCTTGACTGGGGCAGTGGGGGCATGCAGATCGAGAAGCTACCTGTGCCCTCCGCTCGGGTGGGCGAGGGCCGCAGGCCCACAATCTTGTTCGCCTTTTGGGCAGCACGATGTGCAGGCAAGGCACGATAGTTTGATCTCCAGGTGAACCCACGAGACCCCTGGCTGGTTCACCACGATCCCGCCTCGAGCTGCACTGCTCGGAGAAGAGCTCCGGGAGTCAGAGAGTGAAAGGCCCTGCTTTTAGTGAGGCTGCAGCATAGCTGGGAAGTGCAATCGTGGAAAGGCAAGCTACATGCAGCCGGAATCCAGAGCCCGTGAATCTGCGAGGCCGAGTCACTCTTTTTGTTCCTCCCGACCTTCAGCGGGTCATCTGCCTTGCCTTAGTGACTTAGAAATCTGCAGGTCTTAGCGGGACGGAAGCTTGCATCAGCCTATTTCTGGAAACCAGAGATGCTCAGTCTCCTTTTTTGTTGATCCTCCAGCTGTGTCTAGTTCCCAACGGAGAATGTCCAACGATGTCACATGCTATCGCGGGCTTTCAGACACGTTCGGAGACGTAGACATCTCCACATCTTTCAAGCAAACCTCTAAACCCTAAACCCTAAACCCTAAACCCTAAACCCTAAACCCATCTCAAATCAAGGCCTACAGGGCGGTAAAAGGAAGGAGGCCGGTGCGTCGCCCGAGCGGCCCAGCTGAAAATGGAGCGGGCTCTCAGGATCCTCGCTGGAAGTCTTTAGGGTTTAGGGTTTAGGGTTTAGGGTTTAGGGTTTAGGGTTTAGGGTTTAGGGTCTCAGGATCCTCGCTGGAAGTCACCGTGAAGAAGAGCGGATCCTCCATGGCTTCCCCTCGGCCATGGGCTCGGGGCCTAGACGGCGCTACAAGAAGCTGTAAGGCTTGAGCTGGGCCTCCCACTACCCCGAAAAAAAAAAAACAGCTTCATAGTAGCACAGCTTGGGATTTTGGATGGTTTGGGGAATGAAGGGCCTGGCAAAGCTGCTCGGAATTGCAGATGCCCATGCTGTGTGGCTCTCGTCGACTGTAGAGTAAGTACAGATGACTCGCTGATCTCATGTCTTGGCATTCGTTTGCGAATCAGCTGCAGACAGAGCATAAACAGCACCCGCACACACCTGAAGAAACGAAAAGCAGCACGCGACCTACAGCGGGTTCTGGACAGCACGCCGTCTTCGCCGTCGAAAGATGAAATATCGGATTACTGCTGAAGCATTAGCTGACAGCTGTTATCAGCCATGATCGGGGTCCGCAGGCCACAGCAACTTGTATCCTTGCTATGCTTTGGCAGATGGCAGCTGGACCCCTCACTGGCGAGGCATTAACATGAGAGAGCTCTGACCTGCTGACGACATGACGTACCATCAGAAATCTACGTGTTGCGAATTGGTCAGGCTCTCTTCGAGCGCCCTACTTCAGGCTGCTCCGTCATGGAAGGAGAGCACCAAGAAGGAGCTCGTGGGCTCGTGTTTATTGAAGCAGGGGTCGGCTTCAGCGATCCAAACCAGTTGTCACAACGACGAGCTCAATCAGACCTTGTCTTGCTAAGTTGCACGAACTTCGAATTCAGTCACTTCTTTCTGCCTTCTCATGGTCTTCGACAACAACGTGTGTTCAACGTTCTATTGTTCCGGAATTTGGCAACCTCCTTCATAGAGCAGGCAGGAGGAAGCCGTTTCCTAAAGGTGCCTAAAGATCAATCCCGTCGAATCCTGGCAAGTCAAGTTGAACGACATGTTTCGTTCCGATCTTTGCAACGGGCTCGCGAGCTTCGGTAATTTTATCCCTCTCCTGGAACTGCACAGTCCACCTGGCACGAACAACACTGCGGGAAGGCTCTTGCAACATCCGAGCAGACGGAGCTGAACACAACTCAAGCAGCATGAATGATGAAAGTTCAGCCTGGCCTTCAGCCCCCGTGCCGCTGCATACTCACAGGGAGACCTGTCCGTGATCCAAAGCAAATGACCAAGTAATGCACGGTGATGCTGACGAAGCAATGTCGCTGCTGGTCACGAAGAAACAGCTATGTTGCGTTGATGTGCTTCTAAAGAATTTGCGAAAATCAGTGAGACTCATCCTGACGACAACGACTGCGGATAAGAATAATGACTTCAGAGCTGATGCACCTGATGATGCTGAATTCAAGTGATGATGGCCACGAGTACCAGCTTCATAATTTCTATCGCCGTCGAAAACCTCACGAAGCCCATGCAAACCCCAGAGCAGATCCCAGAACACTCGGACCAACATACCAGAAGCAGGGCTTCTGCTGCAGCATCTCAACAATCAATGCTTGGACAGGACCGCAGCCGATGCTTTCGTCCTACTTCTACCACAAGATACTCAAGTAGCAACTGCAAGCAGGTCATGGCTGATCAGATTTACTGTATATCCGCTCACTTGGCACTTCTTCACAGTCGTCTGCTACATCTGTGAGATGCTTACAGATGTTCGCAGCTCCCAGCGGTAGGTTGTTGCGGGCATGGCACCTGCCGTGCTTGTCTGGCAGCATCGGATCACAGTCAGGATGTGCTGCAATCGCCATATAGGACCTGGTTGCTCAGCCACATGGCCATCGCAAAAGTCTGCTCGGCAAAGGCTTCATTGGCTTCAAGAGAAACCTCTTTCCTGAAGTGGCTCGCTCACGACTCAGTTGCAGATTCTGATCTGAAGATCCGAAGGCACGCAAAGTCCTACTGCAGCCCCCGGCGACTCGTCTCCACGGAGTGCTGCGAGGTGGAGTGGCGTCTGCCCATTGAGGTCCGTCGCGTTCACCTAATGCCGACACCGGAAGGAACTATGGATCCTTTCAGCTTTCATGTCTCATTTTCGTGCTTCCACGATGTAATCGAATCTCTCTGTTGCAACTCTGGGGCGGTCTGACCTAGCTGGCATGTTGCGCCTTTTTAACTCGGCTTCCACGCCTTCGCACAACGGCCGCTTTGCACGATCGCATTGCAGCATTCTGGGCCTCGAAGCGGGGCAGAGGCCAGGGCTTGGAGCTATTTCTCCCCCGCTTCGCTTCTCTCTCGGTGTCTCACGGTGTCTCTCTCTCTTTGCTTGGCTCTGGGGCAGGGAGTGCACCGCCTCTCTGTGTCTCTTCGTCAGCACAGACAAGGGACTGTTCTTCCGAGCAGCCCCTGCGTGCTACCGTGCACTGGGGGTCTTAGAAGGTCGGAGTGACACAGAGGACGACAGAGCCTCACTGATCACCGGGTTCCCCACCCCAAAGCAACTAAACCTAAAACCCCAAGGCTAAGTGGGCAAGCCCGCGACGGTGAGTGGACTCTGTCTCTGAGCCTGAGGTCCCGGCTTCGTCACAAGAGAAAGGTTGTCAAGTTGTTAGTAGCAACAATCTAGTCCTACACTTGCTTGCTCGCTTGCTGGGCTTTTGGAGCTGCGGGCATATGCCGTCCCCTCCTGCGCGTCAAACTGGGACTTGGAGAAGCGAGGGCGACTCGTTGCTGCAAGCTGCTGGGGGCAACAGTCCCCACACTCTCTGTCTCTCTGTCGCTCCCTCTGTCTCTTTGTCTCTGACTGCCTCGCCCGAGCATAAGGGGCCCACCCGAAATGGTATCGAGTTACAGGGAAGTAGCACGAGCAAATTTCGCGGCAGAATTAGGGCAAAAGCCATTCACAGTCTCTCTCTCGCCTCTCTCGTCCCCCTCTCACGCAAAAAAGCAGCCCACACTAAAGATAACTCGACTTGAAACTGCTCAGGCTGCCTTTCTCTCGCTCGTCCTCTTTGCTGTGCTACCTCTAACTGTGACGGGGGCCTCGGCTCCTGTTCCGACACTTCACTACACTATGTGCATCTTCTCACTATGCAGATCTCACTGCGATAACAAAGACACTGACATGCCAATACAGAAGCTTCGAAGCTCCATGACTACGTCTGCTTAGCAATTCGGGGTCAGGGCGAAGCGGAATGCTTCCGAGTCCGAGTAAGCTTCCAGCGCCTCTTGCCTGCTGCAAGGTGAAGGGGTGTAGCCCAGAACTCCTGTCGAGAAGATCCGACATGTCGACTACCGCAACACCTGCAGCTGCACCTTCAAGCTTCTGCATTCCGCCCGTCCGGCCTTGTCCGGCATGTCTATGCATAGGAAGTCCTTTCTGCGACACAGGGCAGCGCACAGCTCCTGCACATGTTGCTCAGCGTTGCTTCAATGGGTCCCACTGCGGACGCTGGATTTTGAGACCACGTTGACTATGCCAAGTGCCGAAACCAATGCCGAAACGTCTGTCGATGGCTATCGTGTCATCTACACCAGCTGTGCGCGGCAGGGATCCTCAAAGCCTCCGTGCGCTGCTACATGGAGCAGCGTCCAGCCACGAGAATTCTTGGCGGTCCAGGGTCTCTGTTTGCACTCACAGCATACTTTTTGAGGCTCCCGCTAGCTCGTTCGTGAAAGGCCACAGTGGAAGAGAGGCAAGGACCATTGCGTCTTCCAGGCGGCCCTCAGAGACCTCGACACGGCCCTAAGCAGACTCAGCCTCTCGGCCTAAGCGCTTCATATTCCGACTCAAATATGAGGTACGGACAGCCTGAAAGCCAGCCCGGTGGCCCATGTCCTCCAGCTTTGCAGGTTGACACGCGGCAAAGCGGACGTGGCACGGCCAGCAGTGGCATGCCGTCTGGCACAAACCATACATGGGAAAGTAAATGCTTGTGGTCCTGCTCACGTGGGCCTGCATGATTGCATGATTCCAGCACAAGCTGACAGTGCTTGGCAGACCATTCTGCTGCCAAGCCGTCTTCACTTCGATTGACAGCTAGTAAGCCTAGCAACCTCTGCTCTTTGCAAATGAACCACCTGATGCGTTTGGACATGCCATGCCTCATGCAAAGTGTCTGCTCTTGTGTCAGTATGAAGAGTTCCTCAGATTGCTTCCTCAGAAATCAGACGACACAGCAGATCCGAAGCAGCTGCTCAGCCAGCACATGCCCAAGAACCACATGACGAGCCCGGATCGTCCTCCGGCAGGGGTGGCCGGGTCGGACCTTCGGTCTGATAGTCCCAAGCTTGAGCTCCAAAACTGGCGAGCTGGCCTTCTTCCTCATCTTCGTCGGTGAGGCCGGGCTCCAGGTCCTGGCAAGCTCCCTTTTAGTCCGGGGGCGGGGGCTACCCCTGGTGCAGGCCGGGCCTCCTCGGGTGGATTGGCTCCATCATCCTCAGCCTCCTCAGCCTGCGAAGTGAAGTGAGGCACCCAACTTCACACAGAGACTGCGAAAGTCGTCGACGAAACCATCGCATCCTGCAACCACGGGCTTCACCGTCTATACTGCAGCTCAGGTCGGAACAGGCATCTGCTCTTGTTCAGAAGGTGCGTCGGGAAACAGTTCCTGGAGCTACATCTGTAACGAGCATGAGCTGTCGACCAAGGCTTCGCTCGTGATCAAAGCCGTCGTGACTTCGAAGGGCTGTTCTGTTTGCCTGTCTCACATAGCAGCACCGCTCACAGCCACTCCGGGTCCTCTGCTATGTCTGCAGCATCCTACAGCAGAGTAGAGCTGCAACAACACGCATCAGGATGTCGCAAGAATTGACGGTGTCTCGTCCGCAACCCGCAGTATGCCTGCAACGCCCCGGAGACTGAAGCAGCTCACGTCCACCAGTAGTGTCAGTCTTTCGACACCAATGAAGAGGCTGAAGCAACGTGTTTTTCAGTGTGTCCGGATCCTTGGACGCAGGTCGAGCTCCAGGTTTCTCCTTCCGACAGCTCGATATGGGCGACACGGCTCGTGTATGGTGTAGATAGTTTGAAGCAGAGACCCCTATTCTGGGGGCATGGGGCGAAATGACGACAGCCAGTTACCCAAACAGCCGAATGATGTGATGTGGGAACGCATCATGTATCTGCATGCCGCAAAGTTCCACCCTCGCTCCCTTGATTTGCTGGAGGCCCTGGAGGGAGTCGGCGGCTTCCCCTGAGCATTGCTGCAAGTTTTGAATGGCAACTCAACTTTCCTTCGCTTCTGCCAGCTTCTCGCGGCCTGATCCTTTCTGCAATGTGGTTGACATCCGTTTCTTCATCTTGTGCTCTTCCGTTTGCTGCTGTCTGTGCGGATGTAAAGGTAGGCGCCAGTTGCTTCATGTCCAGCCGGTGTGATCTGCAAGCTGACCTTTCGGCTCCACTAGGTGTCACTGTGTCAACACCAAGGCGCACCTAGGTCTCCAATCGAATGGAATGGCGCAGCACAAGACGCAACAATTCTACTCCTACTCTCCTGCTCTCTTGCCTGCTCTCTTGCTTGCAGGGGATTTCTGGGCTCCTCCCTCACGGACACATCGCGCACTTCGACCGGCCTCCAGGTTCTGAGACGAAGCAGCCGAGAGGCGCTTGCTTGCCTTTCAACCGCAGAGCAAGGAAACGACGAGAAATGCTTGGAAACCCTTGGAAACACTTCTCCAACTGTCAGGGCCTGGGAGGTCACAGAGCCGCGCTTGCCCTGAGAGCGCCGAAACAAGCACGGATCTCAATTGCAGCATACGGCGTAGCTGAGCGAGGCAAACGTGCACGGAACCACGGAAAACATCCCACTACTAGACCCAAGACCAAAAACTCGCGGCCTGAGAAGATGTGACGGATCCTCGCTTGCCCTTGCAAAGCATGACGGTCACACGGTCATCATAGCCTAAAGTCTAGCAGCTAGCAGCAAAGGCAGCACAGCGAAACGCGGCAGAGCCCCACAACGAGTCGGTCCCGCCTGTGAAGAAGCGACAGACCCTCGCTTGGCCTGCGACAGGAGATTGGAGAAGAGCCAAAGGGACTTGCTTCACTTTGCCAGGCCCCTAACCTCTGCTGCGTCTAACTGCTGTAGCTCATTCCACACGTCCAACTCGAGAAGTACCGGATCTGTGATGTATGCCTGTCCCGGCGGGGTGGAACCCCGGGAACTGGGCGAGGACGGCTTCTCCTGCCCAAGGCTCGAAGAGATTTCATGTTGTATTCGTCTGGCAACCCGAAGACGAGATCCAATGCAGGCATTGCGACGAAGGTGCTTGCTATGTTTCTGCCTGCAGCAAACCCCGCCCTTCTTTCGAAAGCGTCCCACCTTCGAACCAGGGCGCTGCAGCTGCTTCTTGTCCTTCCAAGTCACTGCCCCACCGTTGTTTCAATCGGTTTCCCAGAGAATCTGTGCGTTGATACACACATCTCGGCGCAAGGCCACGCAAGTCTACGCGAACTATCCAGGAAAGGTGAGATAGGAAAGCGGCCCTGAACATGACTACGCCCACGTATCACAGGTCCTTGGCGCCCTTCTTTGGCTGCCTCACGTCCAATCCAATCATGCTCGATCTTGTTCCCTGTCTGATGACCCAGCCATGTCTTATGCAGCGGCCATCCGAGAAACAAGAACAACTATGTTGTTGCTTACCCCAGGGCTGCAAGCTGATGATCGCTGCTGTCATTAACTGAACTCACGTGCCCAACGTCTCTGCACCAAAAGTCAAAGAAGCACTAAACATATTATAGGGGAAAAAATGTTTTTTCCCCTATAATATGTTTAGTACTCGCATGTCAGCGCCCGGCTTGGAGGGCTTGCGCTTCGCCTCGGAGGCAAGAGGCCGGTCTCTGAGGCCTACGTGGGCCCTCCTGCCCTGGCCACAGCATTTTTTGGGGTTTAGGGTTTAGGGTTTAGGGTTTAGGGGTTAGGGTTTAGGGTTCATTTTTTGGGGGAATCTTGGGCCTTTTGGGCTTTGGGACTACGAGCAACACAGGTTCCGAAACATGACTCTGGACTTGGGAAATCAGGGCTGGGCCTGGGTCTGCACGGGCTCCACGTTGTCCTGACCCAGATCTCGCAAATCTCTGAAAAGGTACCACTTTGAGAAGTGAACAGAAGGAGTAAGCAAATCAAACCTGGCATCCCTCATGCCAAAATCCGGGTAAAGCAGAAGAAGGGAACAACCATCAGGCTGCAGGAAGAGCAGCAGCAACGGGCACGTTGCGAAGCAAAATCAACAGACCCAGCAAACTGGAATCTTCAAGGCAACTCCACTTCGTGCCACGGCCTGCGGCGCTTCCACCCGAAGCTCAAGCCTGAGGCTACCGTCTAGACAGCCACATGTGCTCAGTAGCTGCAAGAAACAGCTTCGAAGTAGGCTCCCAGCGGCGGAATATAGTGGAGTGCCTGACATGTGAGCAAAGAGTTGGGAAGCCGACTCGAGCTTCGGTGCAGTCGTCAGAAGAACAAGCAAGCAACTCGTTTGTCGGCTTTGCGGGTGCTATCACGAGAAATAAGAAGTTTGTGCCATGGTCTTGTCTACTGAGTCTATTGCCGGAATTGGTAGTCCAGCAGTGCTCAAGTGCAACAACCAAGTCATGGAATAAAAAATACGAAACAAGAGCTTGGTGTTTAAACTTGCTTTTGCACCACCGGAAAGAACCGCTCCTAACCAAGCAACATCGCAGCCGCTGTAATGTACCATTCTAGCGCACTGCCTGCACCTCCTCCATTTTCCGGCTGTCTGCAAAAGCGCCCCCTGCAAATCTCCGAAACGAGTTGTGAGATTTCACGACCTGTAACCTGAAAACGGAGGAGGCTCGCGAAGCCAAGCGAAGAAAACATTCGCCCGAGGCTGCCCAAAATGCTCGCCTTAACCCTCAACACACCGCTGCTTTCAGGATGTCATGTCTACGTCGACGTTTGCGGTAGCACAGGCTGAACAAACTCTGGCAAAGCAATGACTCGTGTCCACAGTTGCATTGCTCGCATTAGCAATGCTGGCATTATCCAAGCCCCGAGCTTCACCCTTTGGCGCTACAGGAGTCGCAAGCTAGATGGATCTGTCTGTTCCATCCTTCGTTCAGGATACTGCTGGCGCAATGGGGTATGGACGGGCTCGTTTCGGGCCGGGAAAGTTCGTCTAGTCTTGTGCTAATACGAGAAACTACTCTATTTGAGGCTCCAGTTGACCGTACTGCCAGGGCGGTTGTTTGCGCCCAGCACACCGTTCGAAGTGTGATCGATCGCTCATATCTTCCAGAGTTAGTTTAAGAATCCTGCATGCCCTTTACCGTAGATACTCTTCCGTTCTGGACAACAAGCAGAGTGCTCCAAATTGAAGGTGACATGCAGAATCCAATCTCTTGCAGTCATCGGCCATAGCATAATCAGACTTTTAGGCAGCCTCAGGCGTAGCTGCAGCAATCATGCAGCACAAACCTCACCCACCTGAATTTACCAAGTCCTTGACTTGCAGATACAGATCTGATCCAACTTGCCCTACACAGCCTACACCCATACGAGTACCCTTGTCCTCAAGTCTTCCAACAGCCCCCGACTCAAGCCCTGTGGGCGCCTGCTGTCCAACAGCCAAGGCAAGACCCCAAGCAAAAGACGAGGGCATAACCGGCGTAATCCCTGCTGCAGCGCCACCGGATCGAAAGATCGAAGATCCCGAGTGCTTCCTCTACCTTTGAGAGTTTTGAAACTTCCTTTGTCGCGCGCTGCAGGGTGAAAGGTGAAACATGTCACGGCTGCAAAAGGGTGCTTTCCTTCACCCTTTGCTCTATGATCTCCTGTTCAGACGAGTTTGTCGGCATGGCAGGTCGCCGGGCAAGGCCCAACTGACGGTTAAGTCAAAGTTAAGTCTGTGGCGGGATATTTTCAGGAATCCGACATGCGAAGCTTCGATTGCCATGATCCCCGGCCACCACCAAGCCAAAAGGCTCTCTCCTGTAGCTTCGGCTGCAAGCATAGCTCGTGCCAAACTCGGATCATGCCTCGAGAAATACTGCTTGCTGTGCTCCTGCGGAGCTTCCGCCGCGGTGCAATGCCATGGTCACGTGGGTCGCTTGCTTTGTTTTCGGCTGCACCACAACGACGCAGGCTCAGGTGTGTGGAGGCTCCCTAGGGGGAAATCTGCGCGAGGCTCGTGATCTAACGGTGCCGCCACACGCTTGTCCCCGGTCACCCCAAATACCAAACGAATTCTGCAAAGCCTCACCTCTCCTCTCATGGCAGCTGCGCAGCTGCACTTGAGCTTGCCCAGCCTGCCATTGGTGCATACATCACAAGAAGCCAAAATCCGTGTTCTGCCAGCCTCTGCCGCCCTTTAGGCATCGCGCAATGAGCTCATACCTGCGGCTCACACCGCCAAGTCGAGTATCAAAACTCCCGGGTTCTTGGGAAAGCACATCGAACCATGATACCGGTCTCATGGGAGGTCTGCATCTTCCCACCCCAGGAAACTCGGAGACTCGCACATTCCACAAAATTGTGACAACGGCTTGAAAGGCCTTGCCTTTCAACGCATCTTTCAAGGCGCTCCTGCGGCAAGATGCTCTGATCGCCTCGACTGTCCAGACTGTCCAGCGTCCTTCCCCAACATTTGTTGAAGTCGCCACCGGACTCCCCGAGCCTGAACACACGAAGAAGTCCAGTGCCACAGACATACACTTCGACGTTTCTGTCTTCACATGAGCTGGCTTGACCGCTTGACCCTTGAGCAGCGAAGACCTGCGAAATACCACACCCTTCTGTACTCTTTAGCGGCGCCTATCCGGGCTGTCATCGCCGCCAGGAGAGACTGGCGAGACTTGGCACAGCACTTGCTTGTAGCTCAAAGCACCTTCATTGTTACTTAGAGGACCAGCCGTCGTGCTCTCAGGCATGAGCATACCAGTGGCTACTGTGTCCACAAGCAGAAAACCACCGTGGCAGCTCCAGAAGTCCCGGAAGTTGGGGCTGCCACAGTCACCACACGCCGGCTGCGACGATGGGACCTTCCAGTGTGCTCATTGGGACAAAGACGTAGGAGTGCTGATGATTCATGGATTTCATGGTTGATGACGTGCCGAACAGTCGGCACATGGCCGCGCAGGTCTGCTTTGCCTGAACAGTTTGTGGATTCTCTGGCAGATGACCGGCACAAACCCGTCGTCACTGCGGTACCATTTGTGTCTATGGGGCGGTATCTCCGCGCTGGTAGGAAAACGTTCTACACTACGCAGCTGCATCCAAGATGACAGCCCAGTGCCCATTAACCTATGGCCAAATATCCTGCCTTTCACATCGTCATTGTATCAGGCTTGACCCACTAGCATATTCATCACGATGCTGGCGATTGAGCTGCGTGGCCCCTGCATCATGAAACCTCACATCTCTGGCGGTCAAACGTGTCGATGAACATTAGCCAGGAAGCTACTGTGTTGCAGTTGGGTCTGCTTCCGCAAAAAATTACCTTTAGTTTGCGAGGCTTCATGTTTTGTGTGCCATCTGGGTGAGTTTCCGAAAGCCAAAGCCTTAGATTTAGGATGACCAGTTCAGCTAGTGCTCAACGGAAGAGGCCTCCGCGATTTCGCGTGGCGTTACAGGCTGTAGCTCCGGCCTCCAGACAAGCAGGCCAATAGAAGTTTCGGGAAGTGTTGACAAGAGCTTGTGCTTTGCAACTGCAAAGAGCAGCGAGGACAGGACATGCCAGGATCTGTCTCGAGGTCGGAGTCCTGGCCAAGGCAGATCCCCTTGAGCTCAGACGTGGCTGCTCTGAGCAGCAATAGACGACCCGGGCGGGGCAGCACAAAGAACGGTGCATCATTGCACTGCCAGTGCATCTCTTGCATTGCAGTAGCGCAAGTCTGCACTGCTTTGCACTTCATAGTTGTTGCCTTTGGTGCGTGGCAGTCTGTATTTGTCCCGGACCAGCGACAACAGTTTCATTGCAGCGGCAGATCTGCCAGGGCCCTAGGGCTTTCGGGTATGAAGTGGCTCAGGAGTCAGGAGGCTCAGGATTTGGGGTCCAGTGGTTCACAAAAAGGTTGGGGGATCCCCGGCCCAATGTTCAGACCTTTTTCCGTAAAGCCTAGAGGACACTTCGAAACACAGTCGAAAGAACGCTGTAGAAGGGATACCTCCAAAGGAAACCCTCGAAAGGACAGAACATCGAAGGGATACACTCGAAAGCGTGCACCTTAAAGGAACACTTCGAAAGCACGCTGTCGAAAGAACACTGTGGGAGCAGCTGCACTGACGCAGTGCAGGCATGCATAGCTATGCATGTCTGTCAAACCTTCAGCTCTCTCAGTGTCAACGCGACAGTCCCTTCAACATGCTTCGCCTCGTCCTCCTGTCTTCGAGCTTCGAGCGGACCTGGCTGCTTGCCAAACAGCTTCATCCTGCTTGCAACGGTATGTCTTCCAGCTGGACTCCCAAATCAGCAGCTGAAGCATAGAAAAAAAGTGACGCCGCCTGCGCTTGCCGTCAGCTCAGCTGAGATAGCGTCGATCTGCAAGTGCCGATGAGAACTGTACTAGACGGAACTTTTCAGTATCACAGAAGCAAGTAGGCAAGCATCAGCAACAGCCATATTTCAAGCAGCTACCGTGAAGTGATTAACGCCAACGCCACGCAAAAACCAGAATTTCTGCGGAAAAGCACACAGAAAGCTGCTGACTACAAACGTCGGCTCAGGCCTGCTCTAAAGGAGGCGCAACAGGCTTGTCTGCGGCGACGACGGCTGCCTGGATGGAAGTCGAAGCTTTACAGCCAGTACGAGTCAGCCTGCCGTTGCCATCTCTGGGAAAGGGTGTACAACATGTTTTGGTGTCGCAGAATCCATCTGTCCATCTCCAGCTCGTTTGACCAAGGTGGCATCAGCCTGCTGGCCTCTTCCAAGAAATTCCGGAAGCTGCTCTGTCGTCTAAGTCGCAGCTCCTGCGCGAGCCCCACGTCTAAGCTTAAGGGTTAGACCGCTAGACCGTTAGACCCCTCGTCATGGAATCCGTTGACTGGTTGGTGCAAGTCCAGGCACCCGGAATTGCAGGAGCTCTGTCTTGAACTGGACCAGACACCTGGCCAAAAACGACTCGACTGACGGAATGTGTTCGGCACCAGGCTTGACTGCACAGCTTTGAATAATTGGGAACATAGCACATACATAGCATAGACTAAGCCAGTCAAGACAAAGACCACAAACCAAAAAAAGACTTACCTGCAGGAATAGCAGTTGTCACCGAATCCAACCTCGAAACCTGTAAGCCACAAGTCAAGACAAGCCAGCTGGTCGACTGCAGGTCCGCCAGGCTAGTGCAAGCTGCATGTCCTCTGCGTCGGGATTTGCAACAGAAAACGCTTTCAACATGTCGCCCTGGCGAGGACGGCAGAGTTGCGCTTCATGGTTACACATGGTTGCATTCTCTGCCGAACTCAAAATGAAACTTCTTCAGGCAATCTTCTGTGCTCCCACGACACGTGTAAGACACACGGCCCATGCTGGGCGCCGAGCCAGGACAACATCCTTCCATTGGCGCTAGCACACGCGCGAAAACGGGCAGCACCCGCGGAGGAGTGCACAGCGCACAGTGGGGCCACCAGGACTTCGAGAAGTTGGGGGTGGGAGGTGTGAGTCTCGTAGCTACGTGCCCGATCAGTTCGGGAGAAGCAAAGCAAAAGAGTCTTCAGGTACGAGACTGGACACGTCATACTCTAATGAACCGGCTTGTCAGAATCGCTGGGAGGCGGTCTTGCGTTCTGGTAGAGCTAAAACTTGGGCCAACTCTGCCGGCATCCAGAAGCTGCAAACATGCACCACCGACATGAGTGGCTTCGCAAGCGCTGGGGAGAAGGCTCCGACAGTGTCACAGTATGAGCCGCACGGCTACTGAGCGGCTACTGCAAATGACGAAGTGCCGCACCCTGAAGATGGAGTCAGCAGCAGCATCAAAGCCCCAGAAGCTCGCAACCTCCACATTCAGTCGATCAAGAAGTGGGAAGGGGGCATTAAGGTGAGGCGGAGGCCTGCCATGCGGTTCGCCCATCAAGATCACGAGTGCCTGCAAAGAGCTGTTTTACAAAGTCAGAAACGCAGAAATGTCGAGAAGAAACAGGTGCAACATTGTGAGTCAAGGAGGAATCAAATCGCACCCTCCCCCAAGGAACCAGGCACTCTGTCAATAATCCAGAGGGACTGAAGATGCAGCAGGCTATCGGAGGCAAACTCGTGAGTTCAACGATCGTCGAGGAAACACGTCCTGACCACTACCACGGATGCATTGCTGCGTGCTTGCGTCCTCGTGATTCGTACAAATATGTTCTCAGCTGTGCATTTTGGTTCCGTGATACTTCCTTTGCGCACATCATCACCACTATTCTCTTTCAATGGCCAGGGTATGCCTTTCTGGAGTCGTTGCTGGTGAGTGACCACTCGTTCCAGAACTGCAGCATTGCGAAGGAAATGTGTGCCATGAGCAGCGAGTGGAACCTGCCACCATCACCTGCCTGGACGGCAGAAGCGCTGCTTGCAAAGCTCGCCGCAAATCTGTCAGGGCAGAGGACGTGGGTGCACTCTGCATGTCAGGCTGAACTGCATCTCTCTATGGCTAAATTCTTGGGTCTTGGCCTCGCCGCTCCCAGCAGCTGCAGCACGATGAAGAGGACTCAGCCAAGCCGCATTGCGACAGGACTAGCTGCTATGACGCTTCTTGCACCATGTATAGCCGTAGAGCCGCCGGTCAGGAGACACAACGCACCTTTTTGAGACATAAGCGATGGCAGGGAGTCGGGCACAGCAGCATGTGGGTATACGAGACTTCCCACAGACTGCAACCGGTGCTGCAGGCTTCACCATGAGTACCGATCCGAGACATGGACATGCCTTCGACGTTGGCCTTTGTAGCTACGCAAGCGAACGGCAGCTACATCACACCCTCCGCATCACAGCAGCAGACGTCCGAGTTGACAAACCCAGGTAAAGTGCCGCCCTTCACAGACCTGGTCAGCCAACCAAACCTCAGGCAGGAACGTCACCCAACACTCGCAAACTCCATCTGATCGTCCTTTAACTGCTAGCTTTGAATTGATCGGCACATCTCATGCTCGCAACTCGAAGTTCAGAGGCTGTGAACCAAGTCGGATGAATCATGTTCCCATTCATGCTGCATAAATTCGAAACTCCAATATCAGGATCGAACTGCAGACGGCTCCCACCAAGTGCAAAACAGATGCCGATAACTGCCCCTGGCCAGCATATCCACCAGCGTCACCCACAAAGCACCACCTGCAGCACTCCGGCGTTTCGCGGAATCTTTAAGTTGCGTGCTGGGTCAAGGCTCCGGGCTTGAGGGCTTATAGGCTTACGATGGAGGAACCTTCACTGCCTGGCATCGGTAATTTCCAGATCTTTCGTTCGAGGATCAGGGATGATCGTTCAGCGTTTAGTGCGAACCATTCACCCCAGGGGTGACCTTTCGGGTCTTCGATGTGGCAAGCGCGGCATCGTAGCTGAATCGTAGCTCTGTCTCCAAAAAGTGCAATGTGACTTTAGCCTGCTTATTGAGGGCACTTCCACGCACGAATGCTTTGCAGTGCAGTCCCAACTCCCGAAACTGCCGAAACTGCTTCACATTCAAGCGTGGTGCAGGTTGTACGCTGCGTATCGATGCTCCTCCGCAATGCCCCAGTCGATGAACTTGGCAGACCTGAGGCTTCTAAATATTCAGGGTTCGAGGCGGCTGTCCTTTCTCTGCATTACAACATCGCACATGCATCACCCACCGCAATACAGCGACGATTGCAGATGCTCGATCCAAGTGTGACTTGCCTCCCTGATGAGTAAAGTAGCCTGGCACCATTTCCAAGCAAGACCTCCCCCATGACACAAGTTATGCACATGGCTACCTTTTGTGTTTGGCATGGATAATTGCTTTCTTGCATGCTGCCTCCCTCCCGGTTTCGACTTTCCGCGTTGCTTAACTGCTCCTTGCAGATTTGCCGGCGGCTCGACACTACCTGGTTCATTACATCCCGTCTCTGAGCCTTCCTCTCGTTCATTCTGCCTGTCCAGTGCAACACAGACGGTTCTGGACAGCGAAAAGGGGGACGCAGTGCTGGCAGTTGGCAGGCCATAGATAAAGCCGTTGCCGAAGTTAGCAATGAAGGCTGCCTGGGATCAGGAACGAGGAGCACATTCACCTAATCAAGCACATAGTGCATTACGCATATATGTACATGTTATCTTATATCTTATGGATGAACCTGGGTCCCTCAGTCCTACTAGAAGCAGACACCGACGGGAGGCGAGAGCCGTGACCAGAGCCAGCAGCAAGAAGTCCAGGGCTTCCCCAGCCACGGAGAGGAAAATCCCAAGAGACAAGTACCTGGGAACTCTCTCAGGGGTTTAGGGGTTTAGGGTTTTGGGCCAGGCTTAGGCACGGCAAAGTGTGCAGTGTCGGGTCAGGAGCTTCAATGTAGTGGCAGCCCAGTGGCAGAAAGCACTTTCGTTTGGACCTGGGCTGGCACTGGCAGTGGAAGCTGGACGCCCGGGATCCAACGTGATGCCGCAACCTCATCAGCCCTGAAACCCAAAACCCAAACCGCGGTTGATCTTGCACAGGGCCCCTGCGGTCCACGTCAGCATCACTCCGGCTCTGTGGCTCGGAGACGAGGAGACTGGTTCAACCTTTAAAACCCAAGCCCCTTAGTGCTGTCTGGATCGAATTAGGCCGACCTGAAACGTTTGTCGCAGACATTGGAGCTAGTTTGGTGGCATTCGGGAAGCATGGCAATTGTTCGACTTCCAGTGGGTTATATAGTGGGGTACTCTTATACATTGGCTCTGTTCTGCTTGATGGGCTCTCTACTGCTTGACGAATGGGATTGTAGCGGATAGGTAATCGGCGGGAGTAGATCATACGCATTGAAAAGCCATTGATAGCTTGGGTAGAACAAGACAGGATTGAACATCTCAATAAGTAGTACTCTCAACACAACAATGTAACATCACTAAACAGCATCAGATTAGGCACTCTTAAACGACATGGTTGATTCCTGACACGTCATGCCATGTGCATCCCCTGGTCACTTCTTAATTGTCATGCCGCGTTGCGTAACGTCCAAGTACTGCGGCACCCGTCGGCTAATTGTGTCGCCAGCAGCCATACAGGGAAACCAGATAAGAGATGTGTAGAGGGCGAACCTCCGCTTGCACTGGCTCTTTCTGCACATGCATTGCAGACATGGCCAGGGCTTGCTCTTCAAGCAGCGGGATTAAGTGATCTTCGCTTTCAGGGCCACCGATGATGGGAACCTGGCATGTGCAGATCGGTTGCCCACAATCCTGCCCTTCTGCTTGGCTGGTGCCTTTGGGCTGTTGAAAGTGTTGAAGAGGAGTGGAAAACCATCCTGGCGGGAGACTGCGTCAGGAGCAAAATAAGCTGCAGTCGGACTTTGAGCTCAACATGGCTACACCTCCAGCACGAAGTTTCCAATGAACTTTGCGACGAACCACCTACAGAGATTGAAGATCCAGTCTAAGGGGGGCAATCCAAAAAAAAAGAGCGCGGTCGACAAACCCTTGAAATATCGGCGAATCTTCGCCCAGCAGCGGAATCATGATGGGCACCCAGTCCTGACACAAAACCGCAGAAGTGCGGCGCAGGAGAGTGATGGGGTTTTGGCATGACGGTCCAGCCAGCACTTCAGGGAGTTCCAGAAGACTTTGCAGCCCTTGCCTTTGCTTTTCACAGCCACGACCTGCGGGGCAACTGGCACCACCGATAGCCGCACGACAAAGGCTCAGCCTCTCTTGGCCGCTTTGTGTGGAAGATCCAGATCGCAATGGGCCTTACATGGCTGTTGAGCACAGGTCCAGACATAGGCAACGTAAGCATTGGCAGCCGGACATGAGAATCCTGGGGTGCCTACAAGCATGCCGCATTGTAGGCATAATAGACAATCACCTCGAATGCAGATAGTTTGAGGTGCACGGAGTCCGTGCAAGCTTTCGTCGTCGAACACCAGTGCACACTTACATGGTGATAACTTACATGTGTAGTGCAATATAGAGCACCTTCTTTCGAGTGCACTCCGAGTGCACAAGGTGGACGTGCCATCGCCGTGCTCTCGCAACTTTCGATGGCATTTGACTTGGTGGCAGTCAAAACCATGAAGAAAGCTGCAGCCAAAAGGCAGGCATCCCGAAGTAGTTGAGCAGTCCTGGGTGGAGAGCAGCGACAGATTCCACAACGCACAACTCCGTGCATGCGAGCAGACTGGACCCTGCAAGTAATGCTACGCCGTTTCTTCACACCCTCCGAAACAAGCAGGCATCCTTTGGTCTCACGTGACACTGGCCCCTGCTTCAAACTTCCAAGTTGGACTGCCAAAGACTCCGAGGATTGTGTTGTTCACAAAGAACCCCAGGGGAGCTCCTCAGCCGTTCAAGGTCAGGAAAACTGCGCAGTCCACTGTCCGAGTGAGGGACCCATGATCGCAAAGGTCTTGGTGTTCTTCCCGAGCCTCGGAGCGGAGACGGAGAGACACAAAGAGCCGGCAGAGAGGGCCATGCCATGACCGCTGAAGAGCGGAAGCGGCTTGGGCTCCGACGAGCTGATCACGCTCAGGAAGGTGCCCTCAAAGAGGCCGACGGCCACACCTCCCAGGATGTACCTTGGGCCGCAAAAAGCATCGTCGTCTGAGTTTTTAAGCCGCTTACACACTTCCACACCTTGCCGACGAAGTGCTGCAGCCGAACAACCCAAAGGTCCGTTACTCCTGCGCCCCACACAAAGACCATGGGGACCAGGAGCGCGGCCATCATGACTACCTCCAAGCAAACTTCAACTCAGTCTGACGCCTGCCAGTTTATGATGTACGGACATCTAAACCTCTTGCTGTGCAAACTCCCAAGATCTGCCAAGACACGTAGGATGTGTACACAATGCCTGCAGGCTGACACGGCAGAATGCAACGCTCATCAGCTCATCTGCACAATGCCGACATGGACTCGGTCGCACAGACAGCATCCACGCAACCCTTCCCATGTAGTTAACCATGTAGATTGACGGCACGACCAGGCATCAGGGATGCCCGCGGTCTGCGTAAGGATGCGTGCTACATCGGCCAGCAGACACATTTCTGCCGGTGGCCAGTGGAACTTGCTGATCCGTTCCAGAGATTCAGCTCATTGGGATGCTGTGATGCGTACATATATTAATGCTCAAGACAGAAGCGTGGCTGCAAATGCATGCCAAAGAAACGACCACCCTCAGTCAAATGATTTCATAGGCATCAAGCGTTTTACTGGCGACTGTGCCCTGGAGGAACAATGCATGGCCACGAAGTGTGTGAACCGATGCAAAACTGTGGCAAACCTTCACAAGAGCGGGAACAAGCTGATGAAAGCACCGCACAAGATGTGCATTCGCATGAAATTATGAAGCACATCGGTACAAATGTAGAGACACTGCGCCCAGCAGCAACAAGCACAAACCTAGCCGCTTCGAAGCCTGCAGGGTCCGTGAATACGAGGAAAGCAATTTGACCTTGGCTGTCAGGTCTGCTGCCAGGGATTCTACTAGTTGCCAGAAGCTTGGAGCTTCCGTGAACTGCAGACTAATGTCTCTTCACCCGCTTGGGTATGATTCCACACGCGGCAGCACTGGCCATCTCGTGAATCTAGCTCTGAGGCGTAACACCGAGACCCGAAACTCACACGCGTTTGCAGAATCGGGCTCGCGCAGATTCGCATGACCATCTTGGCCAACTGAAAGGTTGCAGTTGCTTCCTGGTCCACAGCGCAACAACTGTGATCCGACAGGCCCATGCACAGAAGCAGAGGGAAGGGAGCAGCACAAGCGAGGGATAGCGGGGGGAATGAGAGCCTAGCTCCCATCAGACTAAGTCTGAAGGCTGATGGAAAGCTTCAACAGTCTGCTTCCAGGAATAAGACATCTTGGGGTGCACGCTGCAAGGCGCTCATCTCGCAGACCCTAACAGGCGCTAACATCTCTTGAATGGTGTTTTGCCTGGAACTCCGCGGACATAGTCTTCCCATGGACGCCCAGCTTATGCTTCAACGCATGCTGTGGATTCCTTGGCTAAAGCTGCACGAATTTGAAGGATCTTAGTCTTGAAAGGAGGGCTTTGTGCCCTTCAGTGGCTTCGGGAAGACAAGCAGACTGCTGCGCCAAGTATCCCAACCATGGCTCCGTAGCCCTGCACGTCTAGCTCCAATCAGTGTGCTGCGCATGCATGACTCTCACGCTGCAGACGGAGGCACAAGCCATTGAGCTTAGAACAGCCAGTGCCAGAATGCGTGAGAAGGCCGCCGAGGCCGGCGACTCAGTCCGCCTGCCTGGAACATGAACATGAACGCCAGGAGGAGTACTCCTTGGACACACTCCGGTGTTGGCGTACCAGAGAAGAGCGGAAAGTCTATGAAGAGGCTGCATCTGCTCCAGCTGCTGTGTTCAGAATCTGCAAGCAGCACCCAGCCCAGATCGCAACCCAGGGACGTACAGGAGGAGGGTCATAGTCACTGTCGGAATTCCTTGGAAATCGAGCCCACTTGCTGGACAGGAACCAAAGCCGACATCGCTGAAGTCCAGACACCCCACAACTTCAACATGTCATGTCTCAAGCATAGGATCACTGAGCAGGGGCCCTTCCTTCAAGAATTCGCAGCCGCTTCACTAGCAGAGGCCTCCTTGAAAGCATCAGCCAAGTAACAATGCGGCATCACTCTGCTCCTCCACATCCGTGGAACCTTCTCATGTAAAGGAGAATGTAGTGATAATGAAGATCTAGAGTCTCTAGACATGTTGCATCAGACGTTTGGGATTCGACATCGAACAAGTCTAAAAGCCAGCGCTTCCCCCCACCACACAAGAATTGTTGGGACTTGTTGGTACTGAAGGACGTAGGTCCTGCAGCTTAGCCACCTTCTTCGTAGCCGTCGGAGGACTCGCTGTCCTTGCACAACCTCGTTTTGCAACAGTTGGCTCAGATGTTCTCTCAATTGGAATAGCTCTGGCAGTTCGCCGAACCTCATATCCCAACTACGTATTAAGGTGTTGCTGCGCGAATTCAAGACCAAAGCACATGAAGCGCATGCTACGCGGCTGAACCACCTCTACAGATACCCTTGCAACTTCAATGATGTCTGCACCAACACATGTTTAGCGACCACCCTATTAGCCAAGATACGCATCAGCCATGGCGACTTTGCGCGCGCTTGGGCCGATAAGCTTCTTGTAGAATCGCTCAGATCAGTGCGATCGTCATGGAACAGCAAAGCCAAGAAAAGCTAAAGAGCTGGCAAGTCATGGGTCCCGACAGTAGATCAAAGCAACTACAAGCCTGGACAACCATTGAGGGCGCAACTTCACCTTCTGAGACACTGGCGTCTGCCCGCGGTAGTCTCGCTGGAAGAGCTTCTCAGTGAGCCTCTCCTGCGTGGCTTCACCCACCTCACCGGGAGCACAGGACACAACCCTCCGGGCTGTGCATAGTGGGTACTTAGTACTAAAGCCTTTGCTGAAACCTGTCTTGCCTATTGCACCGCTTTGCTGAAAGCGCAGGGCCAACCTCCTCAGCTGCGCTGAGCACGGCAAGGGCGAGCTGCTTCATGCCACGAGAACATGCCTGTGCAGAGACAGCAACTGGTTCCTGGAGCTGCGGCCACAAAATTGTTTCCACGAGACACAACATCATGCATGCATTGCTTGCAGCAGCCGTTTGCCTGGCACAGCACTACATAAAAAGCGGCGAACCTCGTGGAGCAGTGTCGAACCATAGCGATCGTGAGAGATCAGCATGTCTGGATCCGCTCGGATCTGTCACGGGTTAAGAGCAGAACTGAGAAGTACCCGAGCGGTCGGACCCCCCCCCTGCTACGAGCAGATGAACTTGTATGCTCCATATCCACTGCAAAGCCTCATCAAAACATGACCAAATCCTCAGGAAAGAGTCGAGCACGGCCCCCCAGGCCTCCTCTAGAAATCCCAGAGCCTCTTCCTCGTGGGCAAGATCGATCTCCTGAAGGAATGACGGGCTTCTCTGTTTCGTGAGACGCGACGGCCCCGGAGCGCAAGCTTGGTGCTAAAGCTCGGGGAGCTACCTTCATCAGATCCTCCCTTGCTTTGAGGCAGCGCTCCTGCCAAGGCATTCCGGGTGCATTTACGTAGGGTTTAGGGGTTAGGGTTTAGGGCCGTTTAGGGTTTAGGGATGGACAGCTAAAAAACCACGAGCCGCGCGGCCAACCGCCGGCCTTCTGAAGCCGAAGGGCATCAATCCGCTCTTGGGCCTGACAGTCTGGCAGTGCAAGCCAGGCCTCTTGCACGTCGTCTAGCCCTGAGGATAGTGATGGTAACAATCGATATAGGCACTAGCTGACAAAGTACGACGGCGGCTAAGAAGAAGAGGTCGTTGTGGAGGACGACTTCCAAGTACCAGTTCAAATCATCGCGCCTGGGTTTGAGTTTGTACCCGTGCTGTTCTGATTCCTGCAACAGCTCATCTACCGGAGCCGCTACTTTTGCAAAAAAACTGAAAACGAACAGCAAGAAGAACACGAGACACGAAAACAAGAGTTTAACAAATTGCAAGGAAAAATACGTCATGCTGCCACTAAGGAAGCTGTAGATCAACAAGACGGCTCTACACTACCATTGGAACTAGCATGCATCCTAATGCTGAGACTACAGGTAGCAAACAGAATGTAGCTCTTGCTGCTACTGCTCTGACAACTCACGACCGACGTCTCCGCACAGCAACCTGCATCTAGAGACCCCCTCCACACGGCCTGCTGCTTCAAGGCCTCCTGCTCAAGGCGGGATTTCTTCTTCTCCAAGGCAGCCTCTGCGGCAAAAAGGGGCACCAAGGAAGCAAAAGCATGCTCTCGTCGCCTGCCGTGACCTGGCCACGGACTCCTGAACGGCCCGCATCTCGAAAGGCGCAGCATGCGCAGCATGCAGGTCTCAGGGCATCTTGTGGTTCATGGTTCAACATTAGGGTGGGGTCTTTACACTGGCCCATCGCCGACCATCCTTCAGGGTCTCCGATTTGCAGCTTGTGTCTTCAAGCGAGTGTATCAAGGGCTCTGCTCCATCCTGTGTAGAATAAACGTCAGAGCACATCGAGGGCGTCCTGTTGTCACACTCCTCGGTTCTCTTTGAGCCTAGACGCCTTCATGCGGTGATCCATGAGCCAACATCCACCAAACTGCTTTCCTGCACGTAACTGTCGGATGCTGCTTCCACAATTTCTGGAATGAATGGCATCGCCTTGCTCAGATCTCAATGGCTGCACATGCTCATGATGTATATCAGGGTGACCCCAACTGCATGCATCATTTTGCTCGCCACACAGTTGAAATCAAGGTGTAGGCATAGCCTGTACCATTGTGCCAAGCCCGGTCAAGCCTGCAAGAGACCCTCACTCTCATCAGTCACATCATACCCTGCATCGTACAAGGCCAGGCGCGTCTCGAAGTCCATGGACTCCTTGGCACCCGCATCCGGTTCCGGGTCATGCTCAAACATGTCGGTGTGACAATCTGGGGATCCCACCTATCTTTCACCGGGCTTAGGAAGTCCTTGTACCTTGCTGTGCGTGTGGGGTCCTTCACCTTGCGCTCACGTGCTAGACAGCTCAGTGAGCCCGGGCGGGGTGAAACTCAAGTGAGGGACTCCGACATGCAAGTTCCGATCTTGCTTCATCCCTCCTGGTTGGTCCACAAACAGCACAGGTGTTCAAGCTCTGTGGATGGCTTGTTGTTGATTCGTGCACACTCGCCAGCATCTTTGCCCCTACTTCGATCCATAATCTACTGATATACCGTCTGGTCCACAGAAAGACAGAGCGACAGGTGGAATGAGATATACATGAATACAGTCAGCAAGGTGGAGTCGGGCTGTGATTCACCACGAACCTTGCGAACCTGAACCCGAAACCTTGTTTGCTACAGTATCTGACTTCCTCAATCGCGGTTTTTCGGGTAGGCACTCCCTCTACTGAACAGTCCGACGGCAGGGAAAGGAGGTAGGACTACTTGCTGACAGGCGGCGAGCGATAACACCTCTGAGAGGCCCCGATCCAGCTCTTGTGGTGCCAGGTTCAGTGCTCGAACATAATTCAACCTGCAATCCTTCAGGCAGAGAGACAGCAAACCGGGAAAAGTATTGTTTTCTGGTCCTGTCGGTCCCGTCCTCCCCGTCACGCATGTTGCGAAAGGAACTGGGCGGCTGCGGATCTGCCAGAAGCTTGTGCAGCCATCCGATCATGGTGTAACAGCCGTTTCCTGTTGCAACCTGCACAGCACTGCACAGCTCTCTGATCTACCATCCCCGCAGCGCCATGACTGAGCTGCAGTAAAGTAGCCACACCGCTGCTGGCACAGAACTCTCCCGATGGCTGCAGCTGCTCCCAAAGAAGCGAGTTCCGCAGCCTCCTGCAGAGCAGAGTGGCTTGTGCTGGTTGTCCCTACTTTAGGCTCGAGGGCGCTTCCGAGCACGAAGTGTTCCTTCGCATTTTTTCCTTCTTTCGTCAAGGCTCAGGCTTGAGGCCATGTTTGCACCGAAACTCTGCATCGGCCTGGCGCTGCTGGTGGTCCGCAACACACCCAGGAATTCCAAGATGCTCTGCACTTCGGCAGTCTTCCTCAGGCTTGGTACAAAGGCAGTTTACAGCTGATTCACATCACAACTCTCGCTCCCTCATGCCAGCTTTCTTTGGGAGGGCATGGGCAGAGTGCAGCAATGCAATATCCGTGTGCCGCTTTGTTTCGCAGGCTTGAGGGTCGCAGCCCCCTCGCAAGTCCCACTTATCTCCCTTTTCTTTCTCTGCCGGGCTTAGGGGTCACTCTGCCGTGACCCCCAAGCCATCGGCCCGCCGGCCCACACTGTTTTTATTGAGTGGCCGGCTTTGGGGTTCTCCTATGACCGTTTGCTCCAGGTGGCGATGCTGAAAGCCGCCATCCCCGAACACTATGTACCCTTAATCCCCGCCTTTTCCTTAAGCTGTGGTGGGGAGTTGCCTCCACATAATCCCGGCCTTCCTCTCTCTCTCTGAACCAGTCTACTTGCAGCAACAGCATCAGAGGCGGCGACAGCGTTCTCGTGAGCATGTAGGGCTGGGATAGCACTGACTTTGCAGGTGTCAGCGGCCGTGCAGGATCAACCAGAAAGAGGGCTACAAAATCCCTCGATGCTTCTGCACTCCCGCGATTCACCATCCGGAGAACCCGGTGCGCAACCTTGCCGCTCTTAGTACGGATTAGACGCATGCAGCAAGATTCAACGCAAAATTCCAAACCATAAACCCATTTGGCAGCACCCCTTCACCTAAACCAAACCCTTGTGGAAAGGGAAAGCTGCGCATTCAGGAAAACTGTTGGGATCCCACACCTTGCGACACCCCAACCCTGGTTGTTCTGGAACCCTGCCTGGTAGTTCGAGAAGACTAAAAGGCTGCCAGTGGAGATCGGCACACGGCAGGTCTGCAAGCACGACCCATCGGAACGTAGGGCTGAACGCAGTCCTTGCAGGAAACCTATCGACAGACCTTTAAGCTGCCTGCTGGCCGCAAACATGAGATTCAATCACAAACCATGCCAGGTGAATCATGCTCTGGGCTCATCTGTGCTTAGGGACCAGAATGGACACCACTGTTCTTTCCTGCTGCATTATGATAATGCGGCGAATGTGCGGTCTTTGGTCAGCTTGTAGAAATTGTTGCTGCAATCTCCAATGCCCAAAACATCCATCGGCTCGCGTCCACAGAATTCCATGTCGCCGCCCTCCAGGCCCTCGTCGACGTGGTAGTAGTACCTAGAAGAAGCGAGGGGAGAGTAAGCTAGCAGCCCGGAAAAGCTGGATAAAGCCTCTAATCTTTCATTGCACAGTTCGAAGCACGGCACAGTACGACAGCAGCAATGTGCTCCCGGTAGCCATCGACATGCCAGAGACCAACATATTCGGAATCTGACCCATCTGTGGCAGCAGCTGGCACAATAATTCGCTGTGCCTTGAACACCACCTGACATTACATGCTCAACTTCACAGAACAAACACTTCCGAAAGCGAACTCCCGGGTGGTTCCAACATCAACCCCGTCAGCCGTGTCTCGACCTGGCCTGGATTCTGCGCTCGTCAAGCAGGAGCTGCGGCCGCCGCAGCCGTGCGAGAAGTGGAAGCGCGGCCTGGCAAGACTCAGACTCCGAATGCGAAAGCCCTGTACGAGCACTGCCCTAGGAGCATCTACCGAAAGGCCACATGTTCACTGCAGCCCTCGCAGCACCTCCAGAACAGGTTGCGCGACTCGCGCAGCCAAAGTTGGGAAAGCGTGGCTTCGAGGACCTCGAAACCAGGACATGGTGCAGAACCTTGTGAAAACTCACATCTGCTGATCTGCCAGATGAGCCAGCTCTTGAAGGGCCTCCAACGAGGCGTGCCCTCCCATCTGCAGAGACGTCGAACTCGCACGGCACCCACACGGGCCCATCAGGCGTCTCCGAAAGAAATTGGTTTGGGTCCACGATCATCTCATAGCGGGGAAGGGGTCGATCCTGCGTTTCTGCTGCATGCGCATCAAGAAGCTTCTTGATCGAGGGAACCTCCGTTTTGCAGCTCCAGACGTCCAAATTCCTGCTGCCCTGCTTGGAGTCTCTGGGGAGCTGCCAAACAGGTGCCATAGGGAAGTAGCCAATCGGCTCGAAAAGGCCGTCTCTGAGAGCGTTGTATGGGCCACGGCCTAGCTGATATGCAAGCACACCCGCCCTTCCATAGTTCAAGAGGAGGTCTCCATGCTCTCCCGGATCGTCTGTTATAAACGGCCGTGGCTCACAGATGGCCTGGACGATCTCGGGCAGCTCGTCGAACTTCCTATCCAGGCTCAGGCTTCCTTCTCCTAAGCGAACTTCTGTCGGCCGGAGCTTTCTGCACACGAGGGGAAGCAAGGCATCGCAGTCCAAGTCCACTCGCAGCACAGTTTCTGGAAGAGTCTCCTTCAAACCCGAAAACAGCATCCCGCTGCGAAGGGCCCGACCATCCCGCAGAAGCGTCAGGCCCGCAGTTGGGACGCCTAAACGGAGCGCGATCTCCTCCAAGACTTGGCCGAGCATCTTCGAAGCCAGGCATTCTTCCGGCACCAGGAACAACTCCTCCCCTCCCAAACCCCGACCTGAAAGACCCGACGTATTCAAGGACATCGACACCATCTTCTGCCTGGAAGCTGGCTTTGGCAAGCTGAGCTTTGTCACGTAACGGTTCGCAGAGCTTGTTTTCACGGATCCCTCGGGCAATGCCTCCATTCTTTCCAGCAGAACCTGGGAATACTGCACCCGCACGTCCAGGGCCATGGCTGAGACCCTTCGAACCCCAGCTCTCGGCACCGGAACTTGAGCCGAGCACTCAATCTAGGCCAATCTAGGTCAATCTAGGCCAATCTAGGCCCAATCTAGGCCCTAGCCGACAGGTTTGACAGGGCAGAGCTTCCGCCAAGCATCCTTTTCATTCCATGACATCCAGCAGATCCCTGGCTCGCTGTTCGCCTTTCCAGGGGCCGATTTTATATGTTTGGACCCCATTCATTTGTGTACTTCGGTGTAGATCGGGCAGAAACGATTTGAAGCCTCAACCATCGCCACAAGCCCTATCTGTGAAATGTGGAAACTGACTTAAACTTCCACGAGAATCGCTTGCGGTGTGCAGGAGAAGCAACATGGATCCATAGATGTTGCGACTGGCATAAAAATCTCTCCGCTTTGAAAAGCCTCCCAGGCCCCGCTGCGGCCGGCGCGTGGGCACCGCAGGAGACGGAGAGGGCAGAGCGAAGCGCACGCGGGAGCTCGACGTTCTGCCTTGCACCAGAATTGCAGAAGGGTCAGTCCAGCGCTGGGCCGCTTGCAATAGCCGAAACTCCATCCAATCCACATTGTTCCTCTTCTCATTCTAACCTTCTTGCAACCTTCCCCCTGTCTCTTGTTCTCTGGTTTTTGGAGCAGAATGAAAAGGATAGAGCCGTCCGCCTCTGCCTTTCCCCTTCTGCTATCATTCCCCGACTACGGGGGAGAACGGGCTCAGATATGTACGGGATAGTCAGGCGGTACGGATTACATCGAGTTGAGCTCAGGGGCTCCTCCGTTCCAACCAGATAAAACACGAGATGGGCTCAGCATTGCGGAGAGTTTGGTAAGGAGCCTTCCGATAGTGAAGGCCCCTGCGGCAATTAGACACCAGCCCTCCTAGGCAAGATGGAAAAGAGACATGGGATTGGGGGCCGCAGCTCGGGAAGCACAACATCGTTCAAGCAGCTCCGTCTCTGGAGCTCCTTCTTTCCCTCCCTCTTTTGGGGGCGGTGCTGGCCTCCACCTACCGCGCCCGTCCATCTCGCAATGGAGGCTTTGGCCTTGGCTGCCCACTGGCTTCAAGACTGGCTGACGAAACCAGAACAGGAAACCAACAAGCTACACAGAGACTCGCAGCACGGCATCCAAAGCTGCAAGACACTCCTTCTCGCTGCCAGCACAGACGACTTTTGTCTTCTGATGCTGCGGCTAACATCTGTTCTTCTGCATGCATGTTGCAAGCGTGATGTGCGTGGTCGTATTGGAGCTTGCCGCCTCGTCCTCATTCGTCTTCTGCCTCGCTCTTGTGGAGCATCTGGTGGTGAGCAGGAGCACGTTGATGATACAGGACGCCGAGTCCGGAAGAGTTGAAAGTCATTAGCGACCGTCACTGAGGTTCAACGCCAGCTTATCGTAGCCATTGTTATTGCCGTAGACGAACCACACCTACTGTGCACAGGGAGAGCAGGAAGGGCCACGGGCCACTACCGAAACCCTCGGCCGGAAAGATACACAACAGCACAGCGCGCACAAAAACGCAATACTTTTGGAAGAACTCTCATGGTCTTTGGCCTGGCCATGTGTCGGAACCCCCTCGAAGGTCATGACACCCTGCTTGTGGGCAGAACGATCATCTGCTACTTCGTCTACTTCCAAAGTGACCTTGGCTTTTGCGATGCCGCGGCTGGGACGTGAATCGTGAACCGTCCGGCAAGTCTTCAAGCTCTGATCGCAGCTTTGCCGCACTCTTAGGCCGAACTGACAGCTCCCGTTTCGAGTCAAGGAAGCTCAGCCTCGGAGAGGAACACGGAGAACGTCCTGCTGTGCCTGTTATGCTGAGCGGCCTGGACGTGCTGGGGTCTTGAAGTTTTCCCAGCGATCCATCGCCCCAAGCGCTGAACTTGATGTCAACCGCGTTCCAACCGGCTTGGCGAACCTGCCACGAAGCCGAGCTTGTTCTGCGTGAGTGAGCGAGGCACTGCCGCTATTGTTCACCTCTTCCTCGACTGATTCGACTGCATCCGACCTCTAGCACAGAGCAGAAGTAGTCCCCGTTGTACCCGCTTATTCCGGGATTCCTGGGTAACAGCAGGTGTGTGACGTTTGATGCATCCATCACTGCCCCCCTTGGGCTGTTTCCTGGCTGAGTTTCGCCCCAATGTGTCTCTGCACTCCTCACTCGCAACATGACATTCGATACTCAGTTCGCAGGTATCCTTTCGCAGACGTTCTCAATCCGACTTGGAATTGAGAGGGATCCCCAAACGCTCCCCGGCGACTGTTGCGGAAATCTATCAGTTTGTGAAGTGCGCCGACCATGGTGCAGTATCAAACCATGATCAGGATCAGTGGAGACATAAAACGTGGTTCATCATTCCGGCAAGAGTCTCCAGAAAACAGCCAGTGCAGCGAAGAGCCATCACATCCGTCTCCTGCACCAGAGAATCCCTGAATCACCGAACGACTACAGGCGAAGCACGAAGACGTGATGGCTTTGGACCCTAACTTGCAGTGCATTGCTCGAGATGCCATCACACCAGCGACCGACGTCGTGTCTCCTCCTTGATGCCGAGCGCTTCCAGTGTCCGGTCTCCGTCGGAGCTTACATCCAAAACACCTTAAGCAAGAGCATTGCATTGCTGGCGGCAGCAGAGCCAAGATGGCACAACAACACAAAGAGCATTGAAACCGAAACCTCTCCGCATATAAGGCTTCAGCATTCACTTGACTCCCTTCCTCTTATACCATGAGTTCAAGTAGCTGGTGCCGGCCGTCAGGCGCAGCATCCAAGGCGCGACATCAAGCGCTCTTGCGACTTCCTCGTAGAGCTCCACCAGCCTCGCGGAGGCCTCAATGGAGACCTGAAAAAACAGATGTAAAGCGCAACAGTAACAACATCCAACAACCATCAACCATTGGCAACCGCTGTCCAGAGCTGACTCGAAACAGAAGCTGAGGCGTGAACTGGGTATGTGTTGCCATTGATCGCGTGGACTTGGAGGTCCACGACCTACGTGCAGACTCGTGAAGGATTCCAGCTAGCTAGGCTACCCATAGGCTCCATTGTAGTTCCTTTTCGTGGTTTGTACTTGGAATCCTATAAGGTACTCCCAAAAGGAACTACAATGGAGCCTATGGGCAGAGTGCACTCAAAATGGGCACCCAGGGAGCCTCTCCACCCTTCTGGCGGATCTCTGGGGACGCCGGTGATGGTCCGAAGTCGGTGCTGTTTGCCAGGCCCATACTCACAGGTCGCCATGGCTGGCCGATCGCGCAATAAATACGGGCCACCGAGCAAACAGTTGTTGGGGAAGTCACATGTGGTCTTCTGAGCACAACAAAGCCCTTCGAGGCTTACTGCAGCAGTCTATGCCAGCACACTGAAGCTTTGGGCGCATGGCGAGTGGCGGCCGCTGTGTCGCGCCTATGCAACGGCAGCAATGGTGAATTCGACGGATTCCAGGCTCCCAACTAACTGCAGACGAGAACGGCAGAAAATGGCAGAAATTCAACTTGGACAGTGACCATTGCCATGACTCACAGTGAACAGGCTAAGGTCAGCTCAGCTGGAGATGCTGCCGGAGTCCAGAGAATGATCCTCATGTCATGAGCGTAACTTCAAGATGTTCCCTTCAGGCGAAAGGGCTCTAAGTTCTAAGTTAGTAAGGGCAGAGGCACACATGCACGATCAGAAGAGATTCAAAGCTTGTGCAGATGTGGCAGCTTGGGATCTAGTCGACACAACATCCATTCAAGAGAGCAGATATCAATGGTCCAGTCTTCCTGCTACAGCGAGACCGCAAGTTGAAAAGATCGAGTGCTGTTAGAGACAGGGTTTTTTCGGGTCCTAGGCTTGCAGGGCCTGCGGCACGGGATTTCCGCTCTCCACTTCTGGCAGGACCTGGCTCCGAAGTCGAAACCACACAAACCACAAGCGTTCTGTGCTGCCTACTGCATCTCGGAAGCTCCGCCGTATGCCAGTGAAAGCGTGCTTAACAAGACGGTGCGCAGGTACCTTCCACCGGAGCATCATCTCAGCAAGTGCTGCATTCTGGTCTTGTAAAGACATGACCTGCTCCAAAAATCAGCAATCACTTTCAGAAGAATTGGAATGAAAGGAAGCTCATACAATGGGCCTGCTCGTAGGACTGAAGCCGAGTCTGCTCCTCATGGCACCGACAGCTGCGGCACAGTTACGGGGTCTTCGGAGCTCTCAACTTGGGCTTGCCGAGTCACATCAAGGAAGTATGCCCCAGCCATGATGATCAGCATGGCCACCTTGCCAGCATGCACTAGAGAAACGGCAAAGCCCGTAAAAGTGCCGGCCAAGGAGCACTGTACATGCCATAGCGAACCTGAGCAGCTGAGACTCGAATACATGAAGCTTTCGGCTAAGTGTGGCAGGCTACTCACGCGCACCTTGAGTGCCGTCTAAAGCCTTGCTCACTGCGATAGAAAAAATCTAGTGCAAACCGGAAGCATGGTCAAACGCAAAGAAGTCCATGAAGCCACCTTCCGGGACCCGAATCAATCAGGCATCTCACGAATTTAAAGACTGTGAGCCTTGATATGCCAACACGATCATCAGGGAGCAGACTTCGAACCCAACCAAGATGCAGAGCACCACGGAGTGCACCCGGCACATTACCTGGCTCCATCTGTCCAAAAACGAGCATGCCATCCCTCGAGCCACCCTTTTCTATCCTTTTCCTTTTTCAGGCTGTCTACATCGGAGCTCACCGGGTTGCGTGGGCTGACTGGCACCAAGGCGGGGAAAGAGGAGCTTCGCGAAGTTGAAGAAACAGAGATGCTTGTTTCCGCGGGAGCTTCTAACTATCACCGAGTCCCTGGTTAGTAACGGCGAAACAAGAAGAAAAGACTCAAAATCGATCGCTTTGGTTGTTGCATTGTTCTTGTGCCGGAACTGGACTGCCGATGCTGACTTTGGATAGTCCCTTCTTGTTGCTGAATGGTAGCTTGAAGATATTACGCTTCCTGGCGGACTCCACTTGGTCACCTGCTACCCCTGCATGAGTTTGCTGTCTTTGCGGAGTATCATGCCGCATGTGCTGACTCATTGTCGCATGTGCACCACCGTTTCCTTTCAGAAGTCTCGTTTCTACGAAGCCACATGGACACAGAAGCCAAGGCACAGCAATGGCCGAAAACCTGAGCAACGTCAAGTGTAAATGCACAGTCACGCAGCACATCCACTACACCACATTCATACCAGCCTGCACAGCACTAGATATCGTCTTCAGAATTTAGAACACTATCAGAATCTGAGGACGAAGACCACAAGGCGTCGCCCACAAGGATCTGGGGAGGAACGTTCCACAGGAGAACGTCCAGAAGGCCAAGCCTGACAAAGCAATTGCTACCGTATGAACTAACACTGCCATGTGTGTGCATGCTGCAGGCGTGACAGGTTCAAAGCATGAGCAAGTCCATACAGCCTTTTTGAACTTGCATGTCATCATGTAGGCATCTCAGGCAGCTCCGATCGATGTTCTTTGGCATTCCCCTTTCTCAGTGTCCCAAGCGCACGAGGTGTCCTTCTTGTGAACAGAACAAGAGGTATGTGCATGGCAGCAGCCCTATACTTATCTGAACAGCGCTCCGTGCAGCTTTTTGCACATTGATGCTTCAAAAAAAGCTAAGCTCAGCTTCTGCTTGCTTTACACTGCCTCACCCTCGCCGCTCTTGCCCCAGTGGTCCCAGCATCCGTTGCCCTTGCGCTGGGTGTAGTAGGCGGCGGCTCGCTCCTCGCCCTTGAACGGCACCTGATGCGTTCATGTTTCCACACGAGGACAATCGGCAGCCAAGCATCCAACTCTGCCCCGCTTTCCCGCGCCCCCCCTCCCCGCATTGCTACCCCCGGCCTTGACGTATCCTGCGTACTCCT